GTTATTTGGAGATTTTCTGTAATTAAGTAATGGAGAGCTTATTGTAGACACAGCTAATGTAAACTCTGACTCTAATAAGGATAAATACATCTGCAGTTTAGTGCTCCCTGCCACACTAATGTAATATATTAAATCAACAATGGATAACAGTCATTTACTCGCTTAATTATGTCCATTGAGTTAAGCTAACTGCAGCTGGGCCCTTTTGTCTTGCACTCACTTGCTGAACAAGATAATGTTAATCTTTCTTGAAATCACAGCGACACAATTTCATCCTCCTAGTAAGTCAAAATAATGTGTCAGGATTGTTAATTTTAATGCAGTAATATTTCTTACTTGACATAGCAGGACTAGCTGATGTTATTAAAAAGAGCACAGTGCAGCGTGTCTCATTATTTACAGTAACTCATGCAGTCCCTCTGTGTAGTGCCAGGCATTGTAGAAATCTCCTATCAGCCATACATCCTGCTGAGGTTCTACATTAGCAGCTCCTGGAGGGTTGTAAATTAGAAATGAAGAGGCATCTAGTGACACAGACCTCCAGACCCGCACGGGGGCTCTCTGAGGCCCCACACCAAACACCATTTCAATTCTCCAAATAAATCCTTCTGTGGCCAGAACAGCCAGGAAGCAGTAATTCAAGAGCGAATGCGGCAGAAAGGGAGAGACCCACATGACGGCTACATTGCTGCCTCTCCTCAGAAACCAGAGCTCTTCCCTCTGTGATCCCATGTCTCATGAGCCCCAAAGAGCATCACATCAGTCTGATGAAACAGAGCTGTCACTGTCTGTCTGCAGAGAGAGAGAAAACACATCCTGTCTGTCTGTTCGTCTGTCTGCCTTAATGTCGATCAGTACAACTGTCTTCTTGCGCAACTGTTCATTTGTCTGTCACTGTATGGCTGCACTAAGACAGACAACAGATTCCGTCTTTGTGTCAGTCTCGGTCCGCATCAGGACAGGAAACAGATTCTTTTTGTCTGTCTGGTCTTGGATTCCCACTATGTTACGTTTTGTGTTTCGTCTACCTGTCTGTCTCTGTGTCTGTCCGCTTGTCTGCCTCTGTGTCTTTCCATCTGTCCACATATTGGTCTGTATGTTTGTCATAGTCTGTCTGCAGCACAACAGGGATTACATTTTTATCTCTCTGTGTTTGTCTATCTGTCTGCTGTCCATGTCGTGTTTGCCTTCCTGTCTTGGTCAGGTTTTTCTATGCCTGTGCATCTTAAAAAGTGAAATATTGTGTAGAGCTCCTTTTTTTGTGAAGTATTCTTATATTTGAAAGTATGTTTTAAAAATTCACTTAGCCATAGGTCAGTATTATTTTGATCAATATGGCAAAAGGCTTAAAACATTTTACTTTGTTTTATTACTTCAGTCTCTCTTAGGTTCCCCTCCTTAAAGCCCCTGTGTGGGGATTTTTTCTGATTGAGAAATAGACTAAAATCAATAATGATGACTCTTTGTGACCTACAAGGGCTAATAGCAGCATAAACATTAAGACTGAATGTTTCTATATAGATTTTTACAATGTCAAAAACATCTGGCAGGGGGTAGGTGTGAGTTGAGGTGATTATTAAGTTTCATGAGTTAGGAAAAGTTGGGTGTGAAAAAAAAAGGATGAATTTTTTCTACAGTTATATTTTCAGGCTTTTTTTGCCTTTGTTTTAGAGAGGATAGGACAGTGGATAGAGCAGGAAACCAAAACAGACAAGCAGGAAATCAAACTGGGCTGCTTGAGGGCTGTAACCTCTGTACATGGGGTGTGGGACATCACTGCTAGGCCAAACCCGCGCCTAGGGTGAGATATTTTGAACAAAAACATGATTTACAAATAAACAGGACAAAACTAGTGAGGAATTAGGAGATACCAAAATCAACACAAACAGAAAAGTCCTTCATAGAGACTTGAACCCACTGTTGGAAAACTGTTTCACAATATTTCCTTCTTTTTTTTTTCTCCTAGAACATCTGTTCTTTTATTTCATGATGTGAAACGACAGAACAAATCTGATTCATCTCTTTGTCTGTCTGTGCACCACTAATCTGAAAAGTATCAGTCTAAAATTTAATCTATCAACCTGTCTGTCTGTTGCTCTTTGCTTCTTTCCGGAGGATGTTTCATCATAATCTCTATTGTCGATGAATATTTCTCTATCTACTGCTCTTCTTATTGTACCCATATTCTTTGTTGTCTATCTATCTATCTATCTATCTATCTATCTATCTATCTATCTATCTATCTATCTATCTATCTATCTATCTATCTATCTATCTATCTATCTATCTATCTATCTATCTATCTATCGCTCTACATTTCAACCATTCTTTCTTCCATGTGATTTTTTAATTCTTTCTTCCTGTCAATATACACTTTCTCCCTCTTTCCTTCCTCCTGTCTTTTCTACATTTTATACTTCTCTGTTCACCTTCAACCATCATCCTTTTTCCTCCTCTCTCTTTCTGCCTTTTCTCTGACGTCTTTTGGTGTATCAGCCCATCAATCTACTCTTCCTTTCCTCCCTCTTCTCTCTTTCCCTCTGTCTCTTCATGGCGTGTCTCACTCACAGTGTGTCCCCGGCTCTGCTCTCTGCACACGCTCCGCACCGTGTGGTTTCATGTGTGCGGCTGCTGTTTGGTCAGTGGTGAGAGCATCAGATCTGTGTTAAATGCAGCCACACTCTGGGCTCCACACTGACTGCTGTGTCAACACAGGCTGGATTTCAACTGCCTGCTCAAATGTGACTGTTTGTTGTGCCATCCACTAAAATCCGCCTCAGATCTCATGAATAGGTGAGAGCGGGCTCATCAGATTTGAGCAGGCGGTGAAAATCTAACCCATGTTGACTGACACACCAATCAGCAGAGAACAGAGAGAGAGTGTGTCTATTTGTCACAGAAAAAGCTGTCTGTTCTTTAAAATGTGCTGCTCATGCTGCTTTGTGGCAAGACTTTTTTGTTCCTTTGTCTTAAATGAATCTTTATTTCTGCTGTCAAAGTAGAAAAACAATCTTTTCTTTTGTGCTCATATTACCTTGAAGGAAACAAAAAGATCACATGTAGGTGACAGGATTGAGGGGTTTGATCCAGTTTAAGTGATCTCTCTGGAGGATTTGGTGCCTCTGGTCGTGTATGGAGGTGGCAGCAATAGAACTGGGAGAGTCACAACCAAATCACAACAATTAGTGGAAGAAGCACAGGAGACTAGTGCCCCCCAGTGTTTGCTTTCTATACAGAATCATTAGTTTCTCCTCTGCTGCTGTGAAACGACCGCATTCAAAGCTCTCACCACATAAAAATTCTGCTTTTTTTTTCTTTTTTCTAAAGTGCACTGATCCAGTGTGTTTTGATTAAGATTTTGGCCTTAGTATTCTGTAAAAAAACCCACATTCAGTCGCAGATCCGATCATTCATAAATCATTATATGTCTCCTCTGCAGCTTCATTATCTCTGGAATCAAAACCCAAGCACAGTTGCTCAAAGTGTTTGGATGTCTGCCGAGCTCTTTGCCCGCACACCCGTGACATGAAAGGAGGCTGGACACCTGAAGGTAAGACCGGCTATCTTGCTGTTATGAATCAGAGGCCTTTAACCCATTAAATGCCCGCAGTAGAATTTCATCATTCGGTTGACAGCACTTAACACTGAACTGAGACCAAATGCATTATATATCATTTCCAACATACATAAGATAGAAACATCAGCCCATTTTGGCACATATGATTAGGGGGCTGTTTACGTAGTTGTGTTGTGTAAAATGATCAAATTAGTTTAGCTTTTTGTCTACACACAGAAGTGACACGAGTTCCTCAGCCTGCAGCACTCCACGAGTATCAAGTCCCTTTATATATTGCATTTTGAAATTTTTGCATATCAGTTAAACAGGATTCTAAGCATAGACTGTATATAGAATAGATGCCGTCTGCCTCCTCGCTGGGTGAAGCCTCCCTGAGAACAGCACCCTCTGGTAACGGGCTGCAGTATAGGTCATAAATCCCGCCTCCTCCAGCAATCCCTATGGAGCTGTGGACAAACTTTAGAAATTTGACAATGACATGTAGTTACTGTAAGACTGGTTTGTGCTCAAGTCCTCTTTTTTCTGTACAGCTCCATTTTTAAAAGTTATTAAGGGGTTCATGTTTTCAATGATTGACACTTGATACAGCCTTTGGCCGTATGAAGATTGTGTAGCTCACCCGGGGGATACGCTGCTTGAGCGTCATCACAGCAACTGCTGCCGACTGACACTGAATGCGTACATTGCTACTGCACAGTGTTGGTTTTAGGAAGTAGAGAAAAAACCCTAAAATACTGAGAACTTTTTGGCTTCAAATCCGACAGAAGGCGGAACCAAGTTGTCCATAGTATATACAGTCTATGTCCAAAATGGATCCCTGACCCCTATATAGGCGACTATATAGGGGTTAGTTAGCGCCATTTTGAGGGGTGTCCAAAACCTGAGTGATCAATTCCAATGCCACATACAGGCGACTCAAAATTTCCCATAAAGCATTGCAAAATGTAGTGACCATCCGATGGTCACTCACCGGTGGTGGGCATCCCGTCATGCATTGCGTCTTGCCATGTAGTGTCTGAAACCTCCAGTGATCGAGCTCACTACATAGTCAGCTATATAGTGAAACCCCATATGGGGGTTAGGGGTTAGGGATTGAGTGATTTATTTCGGACACAGCCTGAGATTCTAAGCAATGAATGCAGAATAACAGTAACGGCTGTAGAGTTTGTGATACCAACAAAGTCTTTGACACAGTGTATTTATTTAAGAAGGTTAACATATCCTGTAATGTAGGTTATGCCTTCATGCAATTTACTTTGGTGGGTTGTTTCTACTGTTGGCAAAAGCCTCCATATGCATGTATATGTACTGAGAATGGTCTGTACACCTATGTAGGATGTTGTTGTCTGGGTTAAAACTTCCTGACGTCATCCAAATTACACGGTGGTCCCAGTCTGTAGGGGTTGGTAGCCTCGCTGCTGTTCCACTTTTCTAGCTAGTTCCTCAACAAAGGAGCCAAGCTGTTCCAAGCTGTGGCAAACATCCTTTCCATTAACTTAATACAGCCCCTCTTCAAAGAACCAAACTGTTTTTTGATTCTGAAAATAAGATTTTTATTTATTTTTTTCTTTTTTGCTTTTGTTTCATCCACGTGTGTCACACCTGTGTGTCAACTTTTTCTAAACAGATCGGGTTCCACTTCCAACAGAACCATATTTGTAGTAGATTTTCCTCTGTATAATAAATTAAGTAGATAATTCATCATGTTTAATGGTTAATGGATCATTCTGCACTAGTTACTCATTCATAGATGAAACTGGATCTCTTTCAGAGTCGATTCTCCATGGAGAGGCACTAAGACGGTGTTGGCCTACATTACTTTATGTATCTCCAGCATGCTATATTTCTGTACCTTCTTTTTCCCTCCTTCAGTGACTCAGCACCCATAAGCCCCTTTGCTTGTAGAGCTAAAAGTCTTTTTCATTCATTCCTCTGTCTCTCAGTGATGCTGTCCTGCTGCAGTTTGCTATCAATGTGTAACCAAGGTAAGGGAGGAAGGTCACATGACTTACAGGATTTTATAGAGTGTCATTGTTCGCAGCATTTTTTTTTTCATTCCATAAAAGAGGGAAAAATTACCAGGCTTATCACGCACAGCCAGATAATGATACATCATTACAGGAAGTTGAAAATTTAAATTACACCTTTATTGAAATGTGATATAAAGTATTAACTTGTTCATAACACCGGAGTGGATCAGTTTCAATGAAAGAAAAAAAAAGAGGAAAGACACGATTCGCTCTGATAAAGTGGCAGCCTGGTCGGTTTAATGACATTTTAAGAACTTCATTTGAATATCCCATTGAGTCTAATGAGGGATACATCCTCTCCCCCTGGAGCTAAAGTCCTGTCTCTGTGGGAACCAGCTGATAGCAGGTAGACTTTGCCCTAGAGGGGAAGAGACTCAACAGGAAGCACGGTGGGGCAGAATCCTGGCCGTCACAGCCGAGGTAAGACACAACATAATGGATTCAAGGTGTAATTAATTGATTTATGTGAAAAGACTGAGGTCAGACAGCAATCAATCACTTTGTCGAAGACCTATAGCACAGGAGGAGAACTTTTAAAAGACTTCATTTATCATACAATGAAATTCATGTTCAAGGCCATGTGTCGGTGTGAGCAAACAGAAACTAAATCTTCCTGAAGTCGTACAAATACTCAGATTTATGCTGCTCTCTTCATCACTTGTTTGAGTTTCAGGAAGTAAGTTGGAGAAGCTGAAGCAGTAAAAAATGGAGGTTAAGTTGGGGAAATGCTGTCTCTGCTTTGAATTCAAAAGTCATGAATAATCACTGGCATGATAGGAGTGTATGTTGTTATCAGTTCACTGCTCTGATCAAACTATGTGGACTTGGTCAGACTCCTCACATGGCTCCGCTCTGTATAAAATTAATCCAGGCAATTTTACTGTCTGCCTGTCTGTCCTTCGGTGACAACTAAAATTTCCTAAGAGATCAATTAACCACAACCTATTTGGCTATTAAATATACATACAGCTCTATTAAATGGAGGCTTGGGGCCATAATTATGGATGTTAGTCATGGATGGCTCACAGTGTTTGTGTGATGCATCACTTTGTAATTACCCCTTTATTTGTTCCACTCAGACATTGCCCCATTTGGCAATTTAACACCACTGACGAACGGGCTGACACTGTTCAGGGAGATGCTTTTGTTCCTTAGTCATGACTGTAACTTACCTGTAACTCAGGCTTTTCTTCTCTCTCAGTTGGGTGACCGTGTTGGTGAAAGTGTCAAACTTTTTAAGGAATGGACCAGGAAAAAGGAATGAGCAGTGATGGTGGGTTTGGAGCTCGTCCCCCTCCGTACAACACTCAAGACTACGGACAAAATACTTACACAGGGATGGGCTATCAGGTTAGTAAGATACACACATGTAGCTAAGTAACAATGTCAAAATGTGGCCGGGTTTACACCATCAGAGATCTCCCAAAGTTTATCGCTCCTGTTGTAAATATTATCTAGATTATGCAGTACTGTTTTATATAAGTGCAATGAGACATGGCCATGTGGTCAAACTCTACGTTAATTATCCTAATATCTCAACATGCTCGGTGATAATGCTTTTATCTGCTGTGAGGATTTGCTGGTTTTCAACTTTTTGGAGTTCAAAGTTCTTCTGCATTTTATTCAGGATTTAATTTTACAACCGTCTAAATAATAAACAGTAGATTTATGGTGTTATATAGTCCTAAATAACACTGCTGCAGCCGATAATCATATGTTCATCACTGGCCTTTCCTTGAACAAACTTAAATGAGATTGCACATGCAAGGTTGATTTTCTTTCATCACTTCAAAGAAAACAGTCAACATGTGATAAGGACCATGTTTAGATAGAGATATTTCCACAAGTGTTTCTCCTTGAGGTGTTGTGTTTGTTGATTTTGCTGATTCAGGTGGGACAGGGGAATATTGCAGTGGTCTCCCCTCCCCCCACCTACAACCTTCAAGCCACAGACGGAGGCGCCCAAGACTACGACCCATCACCTGAATACACTGGTGGCTGTGAAGACAGCGTCTTCTCTGACAGATCCATCCGAAGAGGTGCGGGTTAGAAGGGGAGCGACATGGGAGTCAGAAAAAACAGAGACAGAGATGGAAGTTTGTCTGTATTTTTATTTGCGCTGTCAGAGCTGAAAAGGTTGAGGAAAATTTACTCCCTCATTTGCTTGGCAGTGTTTTCCTGAAATTGATTTGAAATTGAAAATTGTTTGCCTGATCTCTGCGGCGGTACCCTGCCTCAGCTCCTAACCTCCTACGCAATGCAAAATCATTTTAAACGAGGAGATGAGACGTGGGTTTGGAGAAAACAAAAGCATTTTGAAATGTTATGGAGGATAAACAACCTTTGTTGCCTTTCTCCCTCAATCTCGCAAAGTTTTTCACCTCTTGTTGTTGTCTGTCTCCCTCTCTGCCTGTCTTGTCTCTTTTATCCTTCCAGGTTTCATCAGAAAAGTTTACTTGACCTTGATGGTTCAGCTGCTGGTAACTGTTGGGATCATCTGTGTTTTCCTTTACTGGTGAGGCGCCCTGTCTCAGGGGAATTCCCTCCAAAAATAGAGACGGGGCCATGTCAGGCACCTATCAGTCCCCCAAAATTTAGAGCAGTCTGTCAGGGTGTAAAAGTACCCAACATCACACAGGACAGGAGCACAAGCACCTGTCCTCGCAAAACCTTTGAGCGAGCAAGCCTCTTTTAGCAAAGTTACCCCGAATATGTGAGCTGAAACGAAATGGTAGATAATAAAAATGCATTTCTCCCACATAATATCCCAGCTTACAGTCATTTGAAAGCTCTGTATGTTTGTATAATGGATGTAGCAGAACTCTGCTGCAGTCATTTCTCTTCATAAATTACATTCAGCTCCCCCATGCACAATCCTCTGTCCTCTGTTAATATTTAATCAAATCATTCTACCACCTCTTTTAAATAAACACCGCCTCTATTAAACCCTCCCCTTTGTAATTTTTTGCTATCCATTTTCAGGGAGAGTCTCAGGGAATGGACGTCCGAGACCCCCTGGTTTACCTACAGCATGATGTAAGCCCTCAAAAACACTCACTTTAACAATCCAGGCTCCTCACAGTCTCCTGTTTTCACCACTTTCTTTACATCCGAACTCTGCTTCCTCTTTGTGAGTCACATTAATAAAAATGTTGCTCATGGAAATCTATATAAGTAAATCACACACTGTCGCCCCATCGGAGGTGCTGCCAGCTACAGTGGGCATAAATAATGTACTCTGTGATTTCACATACCCAACACAGTCGTTTTCCCCCTCTGTTTATAGCCTGTTTATTCACTATTTACGATACACTCTATATTCTCTGTGAAACAGGCCGGCGTCATTTGTGCTCATCCTGGTCTTGGCCTGCTGCGACAACCTCCGCCGCAAAGTCCCCCTCAATTTCATCACCCTGGGCCTGTTTGTGAGTCGACGAAGTTCCAGCCAGGCATCAAATTAAAGCCCCAGCTCACCTGCTCTATTTCACACCTGTTTTTTCGTCTCATATTTACTTTCCATTTGTCCCTCCACCTCTCTCTCTCTTTCTCTCTCTCTTTCTCTGTCTCAGACTATTGTAGAAGGTCTCATGCTTGGATCCCTTGCAGTGTGAGTGTTTGTTTCCAAAGATGAATCCCCACCTGATGCTGATTCATTTACGCAATAATAGCCCAGTTTGATCCAGATCTGATAGCGGGCTGAATTCCAGAAATGAAGCCATCAAACCTGATAAGATGTTATCACAGTTGGTTTAACAAATCAGAGAGCATGCGGAATTCAGATTTTTTTGACTGAAGATGAATTAGTGGCATCGCAAGTGCTGAAAAGACCACATTTGGTGTCCTTGTAAACACATTACCTTCTTCAAATGTGAGAAAAGGCTTCAATCAGAACCTGACTATCAATAAAACATTGAAATTTTTATATTCATAGGGCTGAGGCTGTACTGTAATTGATTGAAATGAATATAGGAAATACATTATGCACAGCATGTCTAGGGAGAAGGGGTCCTGCTATCCCTCTAGTTCAAACATGCGATAAAACAGACTGGTACATTAAAAAAAATCAAAAAGTTTTCTTTTACAGTAGAAAAAAACCCCGGCTGGTTTGCACTCTGACTGCTAAATATTTAGATGTGATATTTTCCAATTGCATATCTATTTTTGGTATTTCTATCTGCAGGTTTTTTGAAGCTGAAGCTGTCATGTGGGCAGTAGGGGCCACGGCACTGGTGTCCTTCTCCTTGAGTCTATTTGCCATGCAGTCAAAGGTAAGATCTGTCATCCACACGTACAAATACACCTCTAGAGCAGCTCAAAGTGGAATTTCATAAACTGCGGTCAGAGGTAAATGTCCTTGCAGAGAGTCCTGAGCTGTGTTTTCTGTGCACTCAGAGGGAAAAGTGTTAATCTGAGCTGCTGGCCAGGTTTTCTCATGCAGTGTTTGCTGAATGCAGCCACCAGCAAGGGTTTAAAACTCTGATGAGTCTGCTGCACAGGCGCAAGCTATGATTACTGCTGAGATCAGAGTATTTGTCAATCAAGTTAATTCCTTCTGTCCAGGGAAGGGACAAAGTTAAACCTCTGGCCCGTCCTCGTGTTTGGGGAGACTTCCTACCATAGATTTTCAGTCTGGAAATGGTCTAAAGCTTTTTGGTTATAAGCGAAATCCATGAGTCATGTCTCATTTCTCAAAAAAAAGTCTAATAAAGAAACACACGAGCGAATTTTTAAAAGGGTCCTCTCAGGTGCTCACTATAAGTCATGATGCTCCTACAGTGATTTGTTTTTAACTTTAGAAAGGTGACTTGTGCTTTTTCTTGCCGTGATGAGCTCATACTCAGGAAAATGTGAAACTATTGTTGTTTCTGAGCCTGATCTCTCATCAAGAATCTAATCAATAATACAAATAATTAAAAAGCTTTTCCATAAAGGTAAAACCTGAAGTTGCTTCAAAGCTTTCTAATTTCCATATTTTGTACTTGATTCATTTCATTTAGTCCATAAATTATTGTTACTTGTCCCCCCTTTCCCTCTTTTGAAGAATAGCTTCTTTTTCTGTGTGACATTTAAAAGTTGAGACTTTGATTACATTTTCTGATGTTTTATTAACTACAATCAATGTGCACCAGTGAGGAGACCTTTCGTGAATGTCTTCATCGATGGTTTTATAGTATGCTGCTTCTTTAAATGGCTCGTAATCAGAAAAAAAGTAATCACACAGTCAGTGGGGCAAAACATTGAAACCGGTAAAGTAGACGTCGGCCAAATACAGATCGTGTTTAGAGTTTCTCCTAATTGCTATAAAATGCTGTTTGGCATTTCATACATGTCTTCACTTACTACATCTAAAAGAGCTGCGATCATTTATTCCTACTGCCCGGATTAAAGAGGCGTATGAATGCACACAGGAGATGTAGGTCTTAAATGCACATTTTGAGTCAGTGAGAAAAAGACATACACAGTACATCAGGTTTAACCAGCCTGCATGGAGGAAGTGACTGTGATGTAGCTGCATCCTTTAAGCCCCTGGCTCATTTTTATGGGCTGAGTGAGGGGTCACCATGGCAAACACTTTTGCTTTATGTTTTTTTTATGACTTCCTATTGACTTTGCAGATTCTAGCACCTCTCGTTCAGTGTGCTGAGCTATTTTATCTCTGTCACTGGGATATAAATGTCATACAGCCTGTCTTGCATGTTTCGCTGTCTGCTCCTCAGGTAATCAGTGTTAGAGATTCTCCTGCAGCACCGGCCATCTTTTTTACTGTCTCTGTGAAAAGGGCATTCTGGCCAAAAAAAAGGCCACCTCTTCTCGCCTTCTCTGTGCCAGCTTGTTGATTAATTATCCAGCATCATTATATCCGGAATCGTTGGGATTTTCTTGTGTGTTGAACTGCAATATGTCTTCATCATTTGGTAATCTGCAGCGCCTCACAGCACAGCTGCAATGCAGGCGACCTTGAGCACCCCAGCTTTTATGGCAATGACGGGCGTAAATGAGAGATGTTCTGCAGTTTTCTGCTTTAGAGGCTTGTCACATTCTGTCTCCCTCTCTCTCTCCTCTCCCTCCCCTCTTTTTTTTCTCCGTCACCAGTGGGACTTCACCGCAAAGAGTGGGTGCCTGTGGGTGTTTGCCTGGACCCTTGTTTCGTTTGGATTGCTTTGCGCAATCCACCGATCGCAGGTAGATCAAGACAACACTGTTTACACCTCTGTTTGCAATGAGGACAGGTTGGAAATGAATTGCAGGCAGTACATACAGACTTACAGCTTTCATCCTTGTGATGCCCTGGCACCGACCCGTGTGCTCAGTAGACTGCAAAGAGGACAGCAGAAATGCACTGATCTCAGACTGATGCATTCAAATGTACACATCTGTCGTGGACTGCTGTTTGTGTTCAAGCCTTTAAGTAGAGAACAGACAGAGATGAGAACTGCATTGATGGAATTGCTGTTTTTACACAACAAACAAACTAGAACAGAATGAAAAGCCTACTTTCTTAAAGAGTAATCTATCTATCTATCTATCTATCTATCTATCTATCTATCATCATCTGTTTATAGCATATTTCCTTTGGGGAATAACTTCAATAGAAAAAGGGTTGGACACATGTTCAGTTCCACTTTACTGATGAGCCTGAGTTGTTTTTTTATCCGCAAAGAAACCACATAATTTCAATTCAAGTCAGTTTAATGGTTTTAAAGCTGTAAACTTCCTGTATTTGTTGAAAAAGTAACCACGATCTGATGACTGTATTGCTGCTTATAATGTGTCTCTGCCTTCTTCAACAGTATCTTTACATCGTGTACGCCTGCCTGGGAACCTTGCTGTTTTCTCTAGTAAGTTCACACAGATTTTAACAACAGAAAAGTTCTCTCTTCCACAGTTGGAATAATAAGAGAACTTTAAAAACATTGTGAGCTATCATTTTAAAAATTTAATGTCACCTGAATGTATGCCATGTTAGGGTGGAGGAGCCTTTCTTCAGTGTCTGTCAGAGTAGTTAGTGCACAGAGAGAGCCTTTAAAGTCCTCATGCCCTTTAATTTCAATTATGCACTGCTTAACAGCAGTAAGCCTCATTTTCACAGCCACCTCTCTGCTTGCCTTTGGCGTTAACAGCAAATGTTGTGACCCGTCCCGTCAGCTGGTGGAACAAACTGCAAACGCACACAGGGCTGATCAGGCTGTCAGCAGCAAGTCACAACTTATTTTCAGCTGCACGACTCTCGAGTACACGATTATTTACACGGCCTGTTTATCTGCACAGTCGCCCCTTCTCTCGCAGATAAGAAATACTGCCCGTGTTTTCTTTCAGATCGCTTCTTGTAACCGGCTTCCTGTCTCTTTCATCACACCAACCCGCAGCCTTCAGACGTCAGTGCTGAAGCATCTCATCTCTTTCTGTCTCTTTGCAGTACTTGGTGTTTGATACCCAGCTTATCCTGGGGGGGAAGAACAGGAAGTATCAAATCTCTCCAGAGGAGTATGTGTACGCTGCTCTAACCCTCTATTTGGACATTGTCAACCTGTTCCTTCTTCTGCTGCAGCTCATCAGTCTGTGCCGCTAACACACAACCTGCATAGCATCCACCTCACACCAACTCTATAGCTGCTGTTGTTTTGGAAGAAATGGGCCAGCAGAGCAAGCTGTGAGCAATGCTAGTCACACTTCAGGGTTCATGATATGCTTAATTTGAAGATTTTACACCGCATTAGCATTTATTTCCACCCAATTTACTATGTACAGTTTTCATGAAAAGGCAACTGCAGTACGGAACGAGAAAGTCAAGAACAAGTAATCTGAGAAGCATCTATCTGTTAAGAAAAATAACATCTATATTGTGTATTTCATGTAAGATTATTTAAACTGAATTCACTCCATTAAAAGACTGAATCTGTCGGCTTTAGCACTGCCATGAAAGAAGATGACTGCTCTGCGTGTTTTTCTCCACTCTGAATGTTTTCCACTGAGAAATAAGAGACGCATTAAAACTCAACACAAGTTTATTGGCATCACACATCAAACATTTTTTTTTCATATAAAGAGGGAATGTATCAAGTATAGACTATGAAAGTGCAAATAGCATTTCAAGGATTAGTTGCTTTACAATAGAAAATCTCGATCAGTTACAAAATGTTTTATGTAGTTTTTAAAATCAATCACCTTGACTTCAGAGGTGAAAGGAGGAGAAATAAAAACTCCATTTAGTCTTAAACCCAGTTCATGCACAGTTCACTGTAACACAAAAAGGGCAGCACACATTATCTCCCCTGTCTAACCCACTAACATTAACCACTAACCATATGGCACTCACAGTTTAACAACTTCAAGACACTTTTCAAAAGCAACCACTATTTTCAGGTTTAATGAGGCTCTTCAAAGTCTGATAGAAAACGCAAAGGTAATTTACATCAGACACTAAAAGAGAAATCAGTCTGAAAGAACACTAATCAACGGGTTTCATGTTTTTTTGTCCGTTTTTACATCCATTTTCTTTAATGGATCTACTTAGTTTTAAATAAATATCTACTTTTTATTGCAACTTTCCTCCGTTTTAGTGTCCTCAGGGTCAGATACATGATATACACACAGCAGGTGAACTCTTTCCAAAGTCAATACAGTGAGTTTAGTTTCTAAACCACAGACAAACCAACTGTTTCAAAAAATGTAGGGCAAGAAGCCCCTCCGCTCAGAAACAAACAGAAGTAAAATAGTCTTTCAAACTATTCGGGAACATGATTTAAAAGTAGGACATTAACCATTATCTGTTCATAAAATCAGTGTTATCCACTCATAATACTACTAGAACCAACAAGAAGCCTCATGCTACAATTATTTCAGATGGAAAAAAAATCAAGATCTCAAGTGTGCACACTATATGAGAGAAATAACTTTAAGGTAACAGGTGTTTGTTTAGTTTACACTGTAAATACTGTGTAATAATTAGCACTCAGAAACATGTGAGACAGAAATGAGTGATGGTGATCCACATAAAGGCACTGTGTCTCTAACTGAGTAGAGAGCTGTTTCAAAAACATGGACCCCCCCATGTGATTGAAATGTACAAGCCCAGTCCCAGAAGAGCTAGGATGCTGTGTAGGATGTTGATCAAAACATAATTTGATGGCTTGCAAATCAATGAAAGCTCATAATTAACTGAAAATAGAGCAAAGAATGAAATGAAAGGGAAAAATGTTATTGTTCATGGGAAACATATGCTCATTTTAAATGTTAGAAGTACGGTTTTTGGTAAGGTTAAAGTTAAGTGAGTGGATTGAAGACGGGCACCTGAGAGAGGCTGAGTCTCTTTCGTATCGACGGGAAGAGGTTCACCTCTCTGTGAGAAACTGGGTGAGGAAATAGTTCAGCAATTCCAAAAAGATGTTCTTTGGTGTGAAATTGCAAAAAAAAAAAAAAAAAAACAGGAGAGAGAGAGTTTGATCAACTCTGGTACATAATGTTTTTAAAAGATGTGTATAAAAGGGGTCAGGCCCTGATGTTCAGGCACAGAGGACTGAACTTGAAGATGAGCATGACTGTAGTAGAAGTCACTGTAAAAGCTCAAAATCATACTTCAAATCAAACATCTAAGAACAGGTTGTTGATGCATCTACAAATGCAGGTTAAATCTGGACCATGGAAACCATCCAGAAACGCTGTTGACTTTCCAATGGTCTGAAAAGTAAATTCAGTCTACCTTTTTTAGTCATCGTGGTTACCAAGTCCTGTGCTCTGAGGACCATCGTCAACTTGTTAATGTTGCATCATATATACAGGATTAGGAGCAACGTTCAGTATGCTACCATCCAAACAATGTCTTCTCAGGAGAGACCTTGAATTACAATAGTGTGGCTCTGTAGTAGAAGAGTCTGGGTGCTTAAGCGGCATGGCTGCAGCCCCAGCTGGTCATCTGTAAAAAAAAACATCTGGGGAATCGTGATAAAAAATACACGAGCGGGGCTGAGGGGGACAATATTGAACAATTAAACTCCAGAAACTGGTCTCCTTGGTTCAAAGAGTTTTGAAACACGTCGCTGTTGTCAAATTTAAAATGAGCATATAGTTTTCAGAAAACACATCCGAGTCACAACAGATGGTTTGTTGTCTTCATGAAGGATTTGCAAACCATCAAACTCTGTTTTTATCATCTTTTACACTGCGCACTAACTCTTCTGTAATTAGGGTTGTAATTCACATTCATGAATACTCCATGCAATCCCCTGCAGGGCTGTAAAAAGGCTTCATTTATATTTCACTTAAATAAGACCCAGAGATAAATTACAGTGACTTGGGTTTGATTAATTAACTCACCAAAGTCTGAATGTGATTGCCTGATTATCTCTTTCAGCGGCCTTTCCTGTCACACATAAACAAGACTACTCGCCGTCTACAAAGTCAGTCACACTCACACCCAGCTGCAGCGCTCAAACATTAATTTAAGCGAGCTTTAGAAAAGAGTGAACTGAGTGACACTGAGCAACCCCTCTGGGCCTGTCAGCGCTTCTCGTTTCAGATGACATTTCCCACTGGAGGTGTGTTAGGATGGAGGCTCTGAGATGAAAAACCATTGTCAAGTCGTTTTGGAAATGTTTTCAGGCAGGCCACCAGCGTTTCATTTGAATAATTAATCTCAATTGTTCAGCGAGAATGTTTCAAATGTTAAAGTACACAACCGTTATGGTCCTGGACTACAGCTTTACATAGCACACTACAGCTTTTTTAAAGTTGAAAAATACCACTCAGTCGCAATCTCAAATAAAAATATGGCTCGAGACTTTCACATTGAAGTTCAGCTGAGACGTTGAGATTGTAGCAAGCAGGCACAAATCTGCTTTGAAGGATCCACTTGGTGACGGCAAATTGTGCTTTAGCTAGTCAGTGTTTGGCACCTCTGAAGTAGGCAGATCTGGACAGGAGTGTGAAGTATTTCCCAGCCTTTCTCCCCCCCATCCGGTTCAAAGATGGAGAAAATTAGTAATCAGCTCATATGTACAGATGAAAAACCTCCATCAGACCTGATTCAGACACATACAGTAGGCTTTAACTCCAGTGGAAAAAAAAAAAAAAAGAGAATACCTGCACTACGCACAACTCTGCAAATGATTAGAGAGAAAGCTAAGAATTTGTAGTTCTATCACTGAATCAAAACGGGATAAAGATCCTCAAAAGTTGCTCTTAAATCTTATCTCTCCTTCAGTTAGCGCTTTCTCTCACAGGACCTGCTCGGTGGGGGGCCGTTTTACTAGTAAACGCAGGAAAAACACTCCAGTGTTGACTGAGCTAAGAGTCGAAATATTTCCTCTCACACTTTCCAACAAACATTCTTCACTCTGTTTACATTCCACCTCGACAGCTACAACACCATTCCTCATTTTACTTGCCATTAATTCTAGTGTTTATTTTTTTTTGGCCTTTCCTCAAGAGCTTTTTTTCCCATCTCAACCCATCGCTTCATACCAAGTGTATCTGCTCCTCCCACTCAGAGGAGCTGGAGCTGGGCAGCTGGTCGGAAACAGAGTCACACAGCGGAGTGTCAACATGGCACACTTTCGCTCCTCTTTGCTCTGTGCGTCCTCCGCTGGGGTCCAGGTTGGCCATGTAAGGTACCGGCATGGTGTCTAGCCCCGCCAGATCTAACTGTGTCGGCCTCTCGGCGACAGCGCAATCCTTCTCCTCCACGTCACTCAGTCTCCGAGAGCAGAAACCGGCCTCTGACGTCACTTCCGGAGGTTTCCTGCTGTCAGGCGGGACGATCCCGGCTTTATCGTCATCCTGCGGGCAACCTTCTCCTCCTCTGCCTGTATGGAGTAGGCCAAGGTTTGAGTCAGTGTCAGAGGAGGTAGGGGGGACTAGAGTGATACCTTGAGGGTTCATATCGTGGAACCAGGCCATGATGTTGCCCAGCAGGTTGGCATTTGCTGCTAAAGCAGAGGAGGAGGATGGGTCATGGCTACCACATGTAGTTGAGTCTAACGTGTCACTGGAAGATGAGAAGAGGCCTGTGGATGAGTTGCTGCCACCTGGAGCCACTGGGATGGGCACAGAGGCCCTGTAGGTCCGGTGGTGAGTGTCACAGTGCTGCCCAGATGTGTGAACACCAGGAGAAGCAGAGTACTGGCTGCTGATGTTGATATTACCCAGTCTGGTCAAGTTATCGCCCAGCTCCAGCAGTTCAGAGCTGCTGAGCGAAGCTCTGGGGAGGACATCTACACCTGGAGCACTTTGTTCAAGCCTGGACGGCAGGGAAGTGCCGATAGCACCCAGTGAAGCTTCCTGAGAAAGAACATCAAGGTTTGAGTCAGTCCCCATCATCCCTGACTCCTGGAGGGACAGCTGAATAGCCAGAAGAATGTTAGGGTCATCGTCATCCAGAGAACCCAGACCCTGCACAGGAAAAACAGAGTACAGTGTCAGCAACGCAGACTGCATTCATATCTAAAGTTACAGAGGACTAAGTGCTCTCACACCTGCAGCTCAAACCATCTATTGGCGAGGAAGGTAAAGGAAACAGCAGGCCAGAGCTGCAGACGTGAGCATGCTGGGATACATCTGCAGACAATGAAAATAAAAGCAGTGGCAGTTTTATGAACCTGTGCCTCCTGTGGAAGCTTTGGAAATGTTTTGGTTGTGTTTCAAAGCTGATGGTTTCTAGTATATTTCTTAGGACTTTACAACTTCCCAGTCCAGTCAGTTGAAACATTTCTCAAAAAGAACCGGGGAGACTTGCAGAGAAGATCTGTAGAATCGATTTCAGCTACTTGTTTTGTTTCACAAATTAGCGAAAATCATACCAGGCATTAAACTTTGGCACAAATATTAACTGTGGTGAAGGAACATGTCATCTTTTCAATCACTGCATGAAGCTTGTGAGTCTGTGTCTTTTCATTTGTTTGCATCACAGTGGGACTCAAATCTCGGGAATTTAATTATTCCTTTTTGTTTCATGTTGATGAAATGAATTTGTTTCATTCATTTAATCAGATTCAAGTCTCAAGACTTCTTAAAGAATGATATCAAAGATGAGTCCAGAATATAGTTAAATACCTAATCAGTAACTTTAGTCTATCAGATTGATTTGAAAGTCTCATGTCCCCTGAATATCAATGACTTTGTATCTTTTGTATAATTCTGCTGTGAGCAAAAGGACGGCAGGCAGGAAGCATTAAACTCAAAAAAAAAAAAAAAAGATCTTAAGACTGTGTTTGAAAAAGACTCTAAATAAAAGGTAGAAAAAAGAATAATGCTTTACTTTTGTCTGACATTGTTAAAAAAAAAACTTTCAGAGACTACAATGATATTAGTAACTGAACTCACCATCAGAGGTCCTTGTCTCCGCCCAATTCCCACATCCTGTGTGTCTTTGAAGAAAAAGAAATTGACAAAAAATAAAGCCCACAGTCAAAAAAGACCGTTCATTAAATGGAATCTTGATAGCGGCACTTGGATAGCAATAAGCCGTCGCTAATAACCAGAGTTAGAAAAATCATTATCATTTCAGGGAACACAGAATAATGATCAGGTAATAACAACCTGACGGTGAGTGTGTGCCTTCAGCGTTTTTCACAGGATATTCACTAATTCAGAATATTTATCTGAAATCAATTAATCCTTCCTGGCACAAAAGAAACTGACTTCAAAGCCGCCAAAAACATTACATGATCTACACGGTTTGATCCAAGTAGTTTTATAATTCTATCTTAATTCAAAAATTGGTCTGAGACTAAGCTGTACATTTCCCCTCTTTATGTCATGTTTATGAACATCAACCAAACTCCCTGCATCCCTGCTCTACTCTCAGTTCCCAAACCCCGCTCTGCTATTAATAGCAAAAGTATATCAATGTGTATTTGTACACACAACCCAGTCCAAACCAGAAATGAAGTACAACTTAAATTGTATATGAATCAGACTAGAGAGTTACCACTATACTTATACATTTACAAACATATAAAGAAGTATTATCCAGTTTGTCCCCTGTAGTACCTGAAGTACTGTCACTGGGGTCATCTGGGTCGGGTGTGTTACTGCGAAGACTGGACATGTCACCTCGCCTCCGTTGCCTATGTCTCCGTCTGTACTGGAACTCTGCGTACTCCTAAAATTAAAAACAAAAAATCACAAAATACAAATTTAAAAACATCTCTGAAAACATGCCCTTCATCCAGTCCAGCTCCAACTCGAAGCATCAAGTATTGCTCTCTGACCTGAAGTCTGTTGCAGTGTGTTGCCGATCTGAAGGCTACTCTTACATCTCCCTTGATTCACATCAAAGTGTTTTGTTATAAACATTTGAAAGGTGAATTTGTAAAGTGGTGACTTTGATTCAAGAAAGTAGACACAGTCTGCTTTAAATGAGGTCTGAATTTCTTTCCCAAGAAATATCAGCACCAAGAGAATGATTCACACACTTTCATCTGCAGACCAGACCTTCGTTCATTAGGGTTCAGTCTAGACTGAGTCCAGGCAGAGCACACGCTCACTAGAGAATCAGAAATAAAGCAACATGAGGATCAGATGTTTGAAAATACTTGTGTGTGTACTGATCTCAAAAGCAGTCAGAATACCTTATCAAAGTGGAAGTGATGTTCTTTAAGAATATATTAAAGAGTAATGCACAGAAATTCTTGAAAAACTGGAAAGAATGAAATGAAATACTGTTTAGAAATAGTGGAGTGGACATGTACAATCACAGATGGCCATCTAGTTGTGATTTAGAGAGCAAACGTAATGATAAATATACATGTGGTAGAAGGGTTACGTTCACAAGAATAAATGGTCATGTCAAACATTTTTCCTGCATTTCTACAGCAGCTAACCTTTGGATTAGGTCAAGAAACAGTGACCTGAATGAGGCTGGATTATGAGAACTCCAATCCATTAATGTCACTCTTAAAAGGGGGAGCTGGTGGACTGGTAGGTTCACTAAGTTTAAAAATGTCAGTTAATGGGTTCAGTGTGTTCATAATAAAGTCTGACTTCCTTAATATTTTAGATTTTTGTCCCTGACTGCAGATGAACCAAAAGACACGGACACACTCTATACACCATCTTTCTACAGAGAGCAGACTAGCAAGCTCTCTATGAACAGATTCTACGTTTGTATCATTGGTCTAGACTTTTCAAAATATACATATATACACGCACATACACCACACTGACGGCTTTTCCTTCTTTCTTTGTTCAGCAGAGTGTCCGGCCGAGACTTCAAACACTTCTCTTTTCTGTATGTCTGATCTTATGAGCTGGTTCAGGCCTGGGCCAGCTCTTAGTTATGCTGCTACAGGTTCAGATTGCAGAGGGTCCTGGCACATTGAGCACCTGTCCCTCCTTCTCCATCCTCTATTTATCCGTATCATTAACTTTGAATCATCACGTCCCATTAGAATTACTAACACACAGTCTTTTCTGGGAGTCCCTGTGTGCTCCATCGTGTCACAGATTCCTCTGTCTGCTGCAGACTTTTGACGCGGTGTACCTGCCTGCCTTCTGCTGCTTCAACAACCAGCATCAATCTCACCTCTGACCATCTCTTTCTGTCTGCATCTCCCTCTATCCCCTCTCTAAACCCAGTGCAGAAGCAGCAGATGACTGTTTTACACGAGTCTGGTTCTGCTCAGGGTTTCTGCCTGTAAATGGAAGTTCTTTATATCCACTGTAACATGCTAAATGCTGCCAAGTGCGACCAGAGCTGCGTTAACATGGGCACAAATTATTGGAATAAATGCCTGATTGGAATAAAAATGCATCATGTAAACATGTCGATCGGGAGATTCTGATCCAATTCAGTTCAATCGGAAAGAAATTGTATTCCGATCAAGAGGGTTGGTTTATACTGATTGTTATTCCGAAACATGTCCATGTAAATGCTTATTCCGACGTGACTCTCTTACCTGACTTGGCCTTCACTCTTTAGCCTTTGGTTTAATTATCGAGGCCAGTTCAGGCGGTTTCATTATTCACACTCGGGCATAAAACACAATCGTATGTGCCGTGTCTGCTCCCCCGGTAACATGACAAAGCGTACATACAGCGTAATGATGTCACATCTGCATGTACAGTGCAACCTTGGATAGATCAGTAATAATAAGTATGCAAGGGCGCCATCTGGTGACAACAATCCAGGGGAAAATCCTGAATTGGATGAAGTGAGTCAATGCCGCGTTTGTTGGTTTGTTGACAGCACAGGCGTAAGTACAACTCTTCTTCTTCTGCGGTTGTTTTAGCAAAATTAGACAACTCTGCGCATGTCCAAATGCTTCCAATATGAATAAAGCTTGGTGCATGTATACGCACGTCATGATCGGATAGTATGATTTTGCACCCGTATAAACAGTGGATTCAGACTTTCTGATTCCTCAAATTTTAATCAGATTAAGAAATTTTGCACATGTAAACATGGCTACTTGTGGTTGAAGATGGGATGTGAGTAGATCTGATCTTACATGATGGGACTCAATCTTACCCCATCTTTACAGTGAGTCCTTGAAAATAGAGTATGGTGTATATTCGCTTTTTTGATAAGCATCTGTGAATTGGTGCAACATACATTGATGACAAAATTCATCAGCGCTGTTTTGTTCACAGGTGATTCAGGTGTGGATGAGAACTGTCTATAAAACAATCCACAACGAAGACGGTGCTGAATGAAATCAGCAGCAGCAACCAGCTGCTAGTAATTTCTCACACAGCAGCTTGAGAAGGTTCATATGTGAGATGAAATGTCACTCGGTTCAATCAGTGTATGAACAAGAGGGACTACTGAACCTGTCTCTGATCACCTGCAGGGAAAGTGTCAGGTTATAAGTCATGAGGGGCAGAGAGCAACACAGGGATCGTCTGGATCATTAATCACAGATTGGGGCCATATGCATACGATAAAAATGAAAACATAAAGTGGACAGCAGGAAACTTTGGTGGCCTAAAATACACTTGGGCGCCGATTCAGGTGTTATCTTTGTATGGGAAATCATAATGTAGTGCAATAAAGCTATGACATTTACCTGACAACACAAGATGTACTAGAAAAGCGGTATAGTTTGTGCATCTGTACTTTCAAAAACCAGGCTGATGTTACTTTGGAAATTGTTATTCCACTAATTGTGAGTTACAGCCATTCAAATCCTGCTGATTCACCGATACTCCTTTTAAGTTTCTAAGCTAGCTCTATGTGTAAGCCATACTTGGATTATACAGCGCCCTGACGTAGCCACAGTGGGCATACTAAATTTAATTTCTCCATTTATAACTCAATATCCTGGGGTATAATCAAAGTGCTTTCTTTATTCCATCATTTATACATTTGCAGACATCACTGACTCACATTCGCACAATCAAAAGCCCATTGCCGACTGTCTTTCATGTTTCCGGCTCCCTAAAAATAGCCCACCATGAAGCGATCTGCAGGCATTGTGAGAGCCAGGGACCATCTGTAGCAGTGCCTGTGAGGTAGTGTCATCAGGCTTTGATTATAACTCTGCTGTTCCCATTAACTACTGCAGCTGAGAGGCAGGGGCGCTTAATTAGGGGACCAAAATAAAAAGCTTTTTTTTTAGAAGGGGTTTAGTGTTCAGCATCTGGTGGCAATATTAACTGTGCACTTTTTAACAAATAAACATGCCCAAAATAATCTATAGACAACCATAAAATATTGCAGGTTCAGATCCTGCAGGAAAGAAGGAGATGGAGGTGAGATGAGTTTTTCATTGATTATTTGTTCTTTAGAAGATAAGCTGCTGCTTTGAAGCTTAATTAAATCCTTTCTTGCAGCTTCTGAACATAATTGGTTGAATATTCTTTTGTTGGGTTGTGGACTACATTTTTTAGAGGACTGATAAAGGTAACGCTCAGCAAAGAGAAAACTAACAGTGTCAGAAATGACACTAAGACAGAAATGGACACAGCTCCTTCTTTTTTCAATTTCCGTTTATACCCTCCGTGAAACAGCAGACAGGGATGGTCCTAAAATCCTCCCTTTATAACCTGACTTCATTTTCAGGTGTGCTCCATCCAGCAGGAAGTGATAATGCACACAACCTGTCATTTAATTCAAGGCATCTTAATATTTCATAATCTGCAGAAAATGGAGTATCTTAAAGGATTTTGTAGGGAATTGATTCCCGTTATCTTGTCACAGGGCTTCATATCAGATACTGGAACACTTAACTCGATAGCATAATGCCAAATGGAAAAAAAATCCCACATTGAGATAATCTCAGACATCCTGGGCATTTATGTGATTTCTGTCTTCAAGCCTCAAAGTTTATTGTACAAGCTCCCTGGTTTTCTGCTTTAGTTTAGATATTTGTCCAACAGCGGCTGTTTGCTCAGTAAACCTTAAGCAAACAAAAGCTTCACAAAGCTTAACTCTGCCTGACTTCATGGTGCTGAGCAGGCAAAGAATAAGGAGTTTCACAAGTCATTCATCAAACTGGCAGTCTGATCTTGTCATTTGTTTTCCTGTCAATAGGGAAATGCCCGCTTATGCTGTAAAAAGATGAGCACAATAACCCGAGAGGCTGAGGTTTGATGTAAAATTTGCATATTTGTGTCGTGTTTTTAACACTTCAGACGGAGGCGACACTAAGAGCCTGAGGAGTGATGGAGCTGAGTGAATGTGTTCCAGATGAAAAGCCTCTGTGTTTTAAAACTGCTGCAGTCGAGAAACTCAACAATAACAGAAACTGCAGTATATTGACTTATACCCCAGTAATGAGTGTGTGCATCAAGCTGTGCCGAAAAAAGCAGGGAGGTCAATAATCAAACCATTATGTGGTCGACAGTTTTATGACTGTAAAAGTTAACTATAAACGCCTGGCACTAATGCACAATCATTGGAGGCAACCTGCTTAGGTGTCTGCCGGAGTGTGCTGTGCTTTTCATCACTACAAGCGGGTGCACTGGGGAACACTGAACCATCTGGCCTGCTACAGTGTGTTTAATAACATGGTGATCTGTTGGTCATCACAGTTTTTCGGTGCTGCCAACAGCTGAAGTCGCACTGGTAATACCTGAACGCTCAGAAAATTAACACCTTCTCAGTAAAAACAGGTATAATGAAGGGCTGAATCAGCAAATATGCTTAGTAGTCATGATTTATGCTCCTGCACTGGTAAAACATGGTTAGGTAAGCGCTCCCTATTCACAGATGGCTGTCTGATTAACCACAGGTGTCTGTTTTGGTAAGCATAGCAGTGTATCTGTAGTAATAAGGCATTTATTGGAGTGTGGATCTCAGTGGCAGCACAAAGGAGTCCAGTTTTTTTGTATTGCAAATCAGCTGGTAACGTCCTACTTTTTTTATTTTTGCATTTTTAAGTCTCAGACGTAGTTGTTTGAAAATAAGGCAGTCAACAATGTCAAAATCCAACTTTAAATGCCATATATAAAGACATCTGTGAATCAGGGTTCCTACACAGTTGGAAATTCCATACTTTTCCATACCCTACTTTTTAGAATTATTTTTGGAAACACCTACTTTTCCATTTTAGAAAACATACAACACTAGAGAAGTGAGTCCCGACCATAGACTGTTTATACTATGGAAAACTTGGTTCCACCTACCGCCTGTATACGGATTTGAAGCAAAAAATAGCTCTCGGTATTTCCACGTTTTTTCTTCATTTCCTGAAACCAGCGCTGTGCAGTAGCGATGCGCGCATTCGGGCGCGCAGTCGCAGCGAGTCACTGTGATGACGCTCGGCTCAAACAGCGTATCCCCCGGGAGAGCTACGCAATCCCTAAACGCCCATAGGCTGTATCAGGTGTCAATCATAGCCAACATGAACCCCCTAATAACTTTTAAAAACGGAGCTTCACAGAAAAAAGAGGACTTGAGAAACTTTGCTGGCGGAGGAGGGATTTATGACTTATACTGCAGCCTGTCAACAGAGGGTGCGGAGTGGCTTCACCCAGCAAGGAGGCAGACGCTGTTCATTCTATTTACAGTCTATGGTCCCGACACACGAAAACATGCATTTGAATTAAAAAAAATATGTGTCATATCAGGTTGTTGTTTCAAGTATCAAATCACACGCTTTGTAAATGTTGTTCTGACAGAAAGTTGATATTTAAACTGAAATTAATGAGGCCTTGTTTCTTACCTCAGGTGATGCAAAGCCTAAATATTCCCAGTCCCACGTCCCACCAGCAAAACTGAAAGAGAAAAAGGGACAGAGATTCTGTGAACTGCTAAAATTTTTAGGCCCATTGATCACTTTCAAAAACCCATCTGTAAAATTCAAGCATTGTTCTTTATTTGCCACAATAACATATGCAGTCAACATCCTACATTTCTGTTTATATTACCTGCGCCTCGGGGCATCAGGAGAGTCATTAGGGGCCACTCCGCGGGCAACTGACGCCAGGAATTCTTGCCTCTTCTGCTGCACCAGACACGCAGCACGGATTATTTTGTGGCGCGGCGTCCGCAGATAAGGCCGATTAACCTTTTGCGCAAGGTCCTCAGTCACCATCTCCAGGTCCGTCTGAGGACACAAAGAAAGCTGGCTGGGAGATTTTTTTCAGGTAAACTCAGTAAGTGAGTCATCTATATTCAAGTACGAATCCACAATTTAAAGTTTAACTATGTCAGATAAAATAATCTGTTCCAAAACTGTGATGTTGAAGGGCAATACGACTTCAGAAGTTATCAACTTCTTTGTGGGGCTGCTGTGTACTTCTCAACTTCTCAAAAACTTGGATAACATTTTAAGACCTCTGGGAGCCTTTCTGATTGTTTCACCAGATTTTAATACCACAACATTAAAGAAAGCAGGTAGAGCAATCCTTGTTTATTCCAGGGTTTATAAATTATATAACTGGGATGTTTAACTAAAAGCCAAGATATGCAAGTTTAACTAGGTCAGACTGTGAAGATCATAGCACGGAAAACTCCGGTCCCACTTCTCTAATGGCCCACATAAAACCTGCCGCTGTGAACATTTGTCTTTTTTTTCCTCAATAAGTAGGGCTGAAACCTGCATAAGCTCGTAGATCTCTTTTTTTGTGCTTTTAGGCTCCAGGAAGAACCCATAAGGATAAGAGCACTTGAGGATGCGGCGGGTCTTCAGTAGTTCCAGGACTGCGTCTTCAATAAATGTGGTGTCAGGTGGGCCTCCTTCCCCTGGGACAGAATAAGAGAGTGCCAGGACACAAAAAAGAGGTTTTTTCCATCACTTTTTAGGAATACATCTTTTATTCCATCTTAAATTACCCACACATCAAAGAATACTGATTCAAAATGATGAGAAATCCTGAATTAAAGCATGTGAAAGAGCAGATCTATTGTAGCAAATTTTTGGTGGACTGTTTTTTTTATAACCTAGACTACTTAGTGTCAGGAAATATGCATATTTTAAACGAAGCTGGTTTCATAAACTCTGAGTTATGAACATTTCAATTTCCCTGTCAGCTGCCAGCCAGAGTTATATAAGTATGTAAGTAACACCACAGCAATCTACTCTGTGAGAATCAAGCTTGGCTATGCTACACGGAGTTTAACTGCCTGTACAGATGAGGAATTTGAGACAAAGATTACTCACTACATAGATTTTTTTTTCACAACTTAGACTTGCCTGTTGCTAATCCATTATTGAAACCCCTTTTGTGTTTTTTTTTCCCCTGTCTGCTTGTACAAGCTCGGTCTCAGACCGCTAGATTAAGACATGTCTCAATGTGTAACAGAGACCCAACACTCACTTGTGCTCAGGGCTCGGCTGAGCTGCTCCATCTTCTCTTTGGCGGTTTTTAAGAGACGCTGCTCCAGCTAAAGTGAAGAAGACAGAACACTGTTAGTAGGGCTGGGATGATATGCTTCAATTCTTCTACGATTTTTGGATGCTGATTCGATTTAAATTGCGATTCTACGATATTGTCAATTTTCTCGAACGTCAGTCTGCAATTTTGACACCAATGAAACAGTTGAATGATTATGATTGTCTAATGACTATTCCAGGAACCATATTCCCTGAAAAAATACACATCACATGTAAGTCGGTTTAAGATTTATTCTTAAATATGAAAAAAAAAAATTAAACATAAAAATCGATTTAAAATTTGTAAAACAAAAAATCACAAAAAGTCATCTTAATAGATGACCTAAACAATGTGGGAAGTCCAAAATATGCTATATACTGTATATAAACAACAGTGAAAACAGCAGCTTTTTTAATCAAGGTGTTTTGATGTCTGATAAATATCTTTAATGGGTGGAAAAAGTAGGCCAGTTTCAAGTAATATTGTCACAGAATACAGATTACAGAAGACACTTTCATCCTCATATCTTCACATTCCCTCTGAGGTTATGCCGTTCTGTGAGGTTAAGTGCTAGTTTTACACCAGATCACACGTTCCCATAAGCTGCATCCGCAGCATGACTGTAACTACATCACTATGCAAAGCAGACATCATTGGGAGGCTAAGCCTGGCCTGTTTACCTGATAGCTGTGCTCATGGTTCTTGAAGCGTGTGTAGTAGTGCATAAAACGGTCCAGTTCCTGAAAGCTCTTGTGCTTCTTCTCTGCCTGCAAAGCGTGATGAGACACCAGTCACAGTTAATAAACTGCAGAGCATGCCGTTCCCCCTCACAGAGGAGAGTGCGGCTCCTTTGGTTGAGAGTGTTCACAGTAAGTGAGCCGTGCCACAGGTGAAATCAGCACTTTTGATTGGTAGGGGCACCCGTGCAGACTGAAAATGAACTTCTTTTCACCTCTGATGAAGGAAGGTGGAATTGACAACAGACGGCTCTATGGGAGAGTCTGGACAAAGCTGTTTTGGTATGTGTATTTCCTGCTGTGTGTATCATTCATGCAAGCTTATTAGACCAAAGTACTTGCAGTGTATAAGCACCCCAATGGGCACTATATATACACCCTACATATGCATATATAGTGTCAACTTTTGTTCACAATCTGCTGTGTTTGACAACATATAAAGTCATTACACTGTCCTCCATGCGGTGCTCCCCTAACTGTGAAATGTGAGGATTAAAAGAGCATGTGAATTAGGTTTGGTCTGATGGATGATCCACTTGACAGCTGATAAGGTGACAACCTACAGCAATGCTTTGAAATGTGTTTGGCAGTCAGGGAAAAAGTCATTTATCGGTTATCTGCACATTGTAATCACTCCACTGTGGAAATGCATTATTCCTCAATGTGTTTCAAGGAGAACTCCCCCTGATTTGCACATCAAAGTCCATCGACGGGTTTTCAGGAAAACAAGGTTTTCAAAAAGCTGTATCGTACCCTTTGTGACACCAAACGGAGCTGTTTGAAGTCTGATACGTTGCCCAGAGTGATGTCACCTGAGTCAGCACCAGTTTGGGCTAAAGACTTCAAATTTAAAAATACAGATAATCTCAGAGTGTAAGAGTAAGAGAGAAGTGAGCGCTTACGAGACAGAAGCAGCCTTTTCTTCAGGGCTAGATTCTCTGTTATACAACACAAACAAGTAGCAGTAAAGTTTGTGAAGTGTTGTACAGTTAACAGTCAGAGAAAAACAAAAGTTATTAGACATCAAGTTGAGCTGCAGTGTTGTATTTACACTGCAGGCAAGTCTCCTTCTTGCCTTATTAATGCCATTATCACTGATCCAACACAACAACATCAGAATAACCTGACAATGTAGACAGTTGTTCAACTCCTATATGAACAGATACCTCTTCTGTCATCTCCTTGGACTGCTCCTCCACCTGTTGGATGACCTCGTAGCGGGTGCAGCGGTAGTAGCCTCCTGTTGACGAGCTGTGCTTTTTCCACTCCTCCAGACAGATCCAACAGAAGTCATACTTACACTGCAGAGAGGAAAAGGTCATTTGACACTTCCATCTACTCCAGTCAGTTATCACAACAAAAAAATCTGAGCCTGAAATAACAACAGAAGTTACATCCAAAATTCATGTTAATATTCTGATTTTCACATTATTATTCCACTGAAAACCAAAGCTGTGTTACAACTCAGCTGATGTGCTTTTACTTCAACATTATAAAATAGGAATAAGGTTGTTTTGTTTCTTTTTCTCAAAGACTTGAAGTCGTGAAGAGAACGTTTGCAAATGCTTGTCATGCCCTTCCTCAAAGACTAACATTCAAGGATGCCGGATAACTCCTAAACCCAAGAACCATGATCAATAAACCTCCCTCTGTCTTGTCTGTGTCTTACTCTTCTTGTCTATTTTTTAAACAGTTGTCCGAGTTGAAAAGAGGTCACGGGCTCTGTTTGAGCACAGTGGTGAATCATTGTAGCCCGCTGCCACTAGAAGGCACTCAGACAACATATGAGATCACCAAGTCCCATCGGGTGTTGTAGAACAACAAAACACTACAGCCACTTCAGTCCACAGCCTATCTGAGAGTAAGTGATTTCTCTTGCTTTGCCACATGTATTTCTGTTGGTGACAAGTTGGCCAGAGCAACGAAAAACCCTAAAGGCTGAGACCTGTGGTTTCCTCAAAACACCACGCTTACATGAGACTTCAGGAAAATCGATAGAAAAAGAAGGAATGGGAGGGGGGATGAATGAAAGCACAGAGAGACACAAAAAGACAGCGTGTGAAATGGAGAGACTTAAGATAAAAAACTGTGAAGCCAGACTGGAGGGGAGGAAACAGCTGTGAAAAGACAAAGAAATGTTCCTTGGCAACACTGAGTCTCCTGTTTCCAAGCAACAGGGGTAAAACCATTTCTTACCAGGTAATAACAGGTCAAAAGGCTGAGCCCTGCGTGGCCTTTCAGCCTGTGAAAGCTGTTTCATTTCTCTCAAACTAATCTCAATCTCTAGTCTGCCTCTTTAACAGGGACAGGGGCATTGAGAAGGCTGTCACTGAGACAGAGGGAGAGTGGTTGTGTGACTGCACTGTGCTGATTTCATGGTCTGCCCTTGGGCCACAGTGGCAGTAACAGAAGCACTGTCAGTCAACATGGCTCATGAACTACTGTATTACTCTCACATACATCTTAGAGAGAGAGAGGCTGCTGACTAACGACAGGGCTCGCTGGCTTTCCAGTTATTTGATGGATTGCATGGCAGCATCACCGGTTCATGTCAGTTTAAGCAGAAGCTCAATGAAAGATTTTACCTCCCATTGAGAATGAAACAGAAAACCTTTACCAAATTTGATCAACAAATAAGAGCAGCCATCTAGAACAACAGTATATTAATAAAACCTGGCCCGATTAATCACTTTTTTGTCATTTAAAAATGGTTTAGGAGGAAATGGAAGCAGCTTTTAAATGAGCTTTATAAAAATGTAAAAACTGATCTGTGTGCCTCTTCAAAACAAACTGAGGATAGGCTTCCACCTTTACTTTCCCTTGTGATGATACTTCTGAAACCCATGTTAATGTCTTTGGAAACTTTGATCAGGTTTGTATTAAGTTCATTATGAAGGAAAGGCTGCATCTTAAAACCCTCATGCTCAAACCACACACTGTCTAAGAGCTACGATGTACAACTTTTTATCCTGACACAAGTAGTATGTGGTCCATGTGTCACTTTCTCCTCCATAAATAAAATTCCGACAAATCTCTTCAAACCTAAGACTACTTGCGCTGTTATGCCTCAAGGAGTCCTAACCACCTTTCATGAAATTCAAAACCTGAATGCAAAAAAAAAAAGTACTCTCTGGTAATTTTCCAACATAAATCAATGACTTGTGTACATACTGTAAAAACAGTCGAATAAATAAGACTCAAGGTCTACAGCCCCATGGACACCTGTGTCCACTGAAGGGTTTGTATTTCTAGTAGTAAAATGTGCTGTTATAATCAGCAGGTTATTACCTCCGCCAAGGAGGTTATGTTTTCAGTAGCGTTGGTTTGTTTGTTTGTCTGTTAGCAACTTTACGGAGAAAGTAACAGACGGATTGACCTGAAATTTTCACCAGGGGTGCGTGTCAGCCCCAGGAGGATCCCATTAAATTTTGGTGGTGATCCGGACAAAATTCTGGATACTGTGATCCAGAACACACAAAAATAAGGGTGTCATTGGAATTTTCAATGCTGAAAGATAACCAATGGGCGGCACAGTGGTGTAGATAGGTGGCACAGTGGTGTAGTAGTTACCACTGTCGCCTCACAACCAGAATGTCCTGGGTTCAAATCCCAGTCAGGGCATTTCTTGTTTAAGGGGGGACATGAGCTGCTTGGCGGAGGTCTGCGCTCTCCAAGTGCTTTTCTAGTTGTTGATTGTTGTAGGTTGATGCTCTCCTAACAGCCTGGCATGATTTTATTTGTGGAACATTTTATGACAACAAGCAGAGTAGCTTATGAGATATCTTGAGTGTAAACTTCGAATTTGGCATGAGCTCTTAGCCAGAGGAACATCTGTGGGTCTTCAAAAATGAAAAGGGTTGGAAACATTTAGAAAATGGAAAATAAAAAATGTGTCTGTGCCCGGTTATTTTATGAAGATTATATACTAAATTTTACTGTGAACAAATTGCATTTGTTCACATGAATACAGGAAGTCACAAAAAAAACATTTTAGTGTCTGGAGTCAACCTCTGAGGACAATTATTGCACGGGTGGCTGCTGCGGACAAAATACAAAATGTGCAAAAGATGCCAAAGCTGTTAAAAGAACAGCAATGAACCAAAGAGGTAACTAAAGCTTTTGTGATGAGTTTCAAACGAACACTGACAACTCCTGCCATGGGGTGGATGTCAGGCAATACGATTAACAGCATGCTGCTGAAAAAGCCTTTTTTTATTTCAGAGGCAAAGATTCAGAAGAAGAAATCAGCACCTTTGTAGTTTAAAATAATACAGTTTTATCTTCAGTCCCATCACAAAATGCCTGTTGTTATGCTAACTGAAGAGCAACAAGTGCACATCCTTTTCTATAGCAGATTACAATCCATCAACTGAATGATATCTACCCTATTTCATAGATTAAATGTTTGTGCTAATCTCTATGACAAAAATTAACAGGATCGGGATTTGTGTATAAAAATAAAGGGTTCTACTTATTAAACAATCTACTCACCGCTGGGGTAGAGATAAAAGAGTGTCTTTATAAGACAGGGACTTGACACCTCTGATCTTCACTTACCTTAGCACACTGCATGTGGTTGCAGCCCTCATTTTTCTGGATTGGGGACTTGCAGTTGGCACAGGGTTTGGAGTTCGAGAGCAGCCACAAGCAGTTGGCTGCATCCTCATACGCTTCACTCACACCAGCCACTTCAACGCGAGTGGGGGAGGGGGTTAAAGAGAACAAATAAAGGCATAATGAGACAGAATGAGAATGGCTATTACCACAACATCTAAACAGACCACTGCACTGAGTGGGGAAATTGTCCTGCCTGACTAATGTGTATTGCTTATTTTTGCTAACATCTCCCAAGATACTCATGCCGTCCCCCCTCCCTCACACTCTTACACTACAGCATAATTGGCTATTACCAAAGCACCTCTGATGTGCAGTTCGAAATGCCAGGATAAACACAAATCCAGAAAAATCGAAGGGGAGGGTGGTTCCACAACAAAATAATTGCTTTTATGTTTGGACAGTCACATCAAAGAAGTGGCACTTTGGAGTGACTTGGAGCATCTTAAATCATCTATTAGATTACCAACAGTCCAATTACTGCTTCTAAACAATGCACACTTTCAATGAGAGGGGCTGTTCATTTCAGTTAATAATTTATCATCAAGATGGCTGGTTTTAATAGGCTCAGCACTAAACAGTTTGTAATTACTGTGGTTGAGTTCCAGGCCATTTAGCTCCAAATCAATCACTTGACTGCAACCCGAAAACTAAGGGAAAGTAGGAAGACAACACCTCTGAACTTAACTTCTTTGTCTGAATAATTTACAACAAAGCGGCTTGGCAGGATTCCCTTTCAATACGGAAGTAGAAAAATCTAACATTAAGATTCTGACAATCTTCCTCTGAACAATTTGAATTGTAAATTCAGCTACAGTTTTATGCGTTACACTGATTCGTGCTGATACTCACATTCCTCAGGTTTCATTTCAGAAACTTTATGGAGCCACATTTTCCAGGTTTCACAGTCACAGGGCTCATGGGCCTCGCCACGACACTCCCTGGAATATACAAAACAGGGGTGAAATGATTTAGCTGACAAAAATTGAAGGCAAATTTATTAGCCAACAACCTAACTTAAGTCTGTTATGTCATCCCGCATGCTGTCTTATGCTGTGAGTGGATGTAACGTCCGTTTTGCGAAGCTCAGTTGACGAGAATTTCTATCCCCACTGAGAATTGGGTGGGCCAAACAGCAACTGGGATGAGGTCAGAACAGCGCACATCCACGCACACCAAAACCTTGTATGTCTGAGAGCACTTCACCCTCACCAAGGAAAAGAAAAGAGATGTCTGCAAAATGTGCAAAGTGGACCTTGCTTTTCAAGCATTTAAAGAAAAGATAAGTGGGACTCTTCTCTTTTAAACTTTAACTGTGACTTTGAGATTGACAATGCAAAGTTAGAGACATACTGAGTGATTTTTTTCTTTCATGTGCATTCTCCGTCTCTCACCTTTAATTCTGTCTCTGGAACACTCCATCTTTTTTTCCTCCTACTCATCTCGTATTCGCTTTTCTCTCCTACCTCTGAATAGTGGGTCAAACTCTAAGTATTTGACCGTAGTATTAAAAATAGTCATTATTTTCCGCTTTTGCACAAAGACATAAAGGGTTACAGAGACAGTCAAAATAATCCACAGTTTGTTTTTGTCCCTTGGCTACACCAACAATCGAGACTAATGAGGAACATGCTGATCACACAGCGCCATCACAGACGCTGTCAAAACTGACAACCATCAATAACTCATATCTGCCTTTCAAGAAAGGGAAAGGCTAGAAAGGGAAAAAGTCAGACGTGTACCAGTTACATTAACAAATGTCATATCAAGTGAACTCTTTAGTAGTCCTGACACGTGTATTCGACCACATTCAAGAGCAGTGATGTGAGAAGATTTAGTTAGAGCAGGGTGGAGGTCGTGACATAACACAGGTTGGCTCCAAGGACATTCTGCAGGGCTACAGGAGGACTTATACAGAGGGCAAAAATCACAGGACTACAGCATCTGGGCCCCACTGCCCCTGAGCATGCTGCAAAGCTAACTCACACAGTGAGAGGATGAGTGGTTACAAATAAAGAAAACAGACACTCCTTCAAACAGACACCAGAGGTTTTGGAGTTTGGCCTTCATGCTCACAGGCACTACTTGCTCATAATACACAGGCAATACACATTTTTAGTACTGGATTAAAAGCAGGTTGGAGGGTTCTTTTGGTCAGAATATTTAAGCAAGTGTAGTTCTGTTTCAGCTGCAGTGAAACTGAGTGGAGTGAAACAGGAACTACAGAAATCAGCCATCAGCCTTTGCACTCTGCTCGCTGCCTCAGATGCAGTATAGTGAAGAATAGCACACACACCAGCGTTCATGGCAAGAAACAAGAGGACAGTTTTGAAAATTGTGGCGCTCCAGCGGCTTCTGGAGCACCACAATTCCTTCAACCTGAGGTGTAGGAGTATTGTGATTTTACCATGTCGAGAAATGAGAGAGGAGAAAAATCGACAGACGAACAGAAACAATATGCCTCGACGAGGATGAGGATTGAAACCCAGTTCTTTTAAGGACTGCACTTTAAAAACGCTTCAATCAAAAAAGTCTGAAACTTATCAATTCTGTTCCACCATAGAGTGTCAGGGTCCCATGATGTTATAGCTCACATTTATGTCTGTATCAACCCTGCAGCTGTGCAGTTATTGCACTGACTGTTGTTCATTTAATTTCTAACAGTTGTTTGTATTTTCGTACCATACACCCTTTTTTATGCTACTTCTGTTTTCCCTTTATACCACTGCTCGGTGGCCTTTTAATTACCCCTTTGGAACAAATAAAGTTTTTTGAATTTGAATTAAGCGATAGTTATTATTGTGAAATCATAGCTCCCTTCTACTATAAACTTTCTGAACAACAGGTACTAGACCACAGAAAAAATACTGGTGCTCAGTGCTTGCAATGCTGGCTTGTCGTAATACCTTTGACTGTGTTTGTCTATCAACTGATGCTACTACTACCTCCTCCTCCAGCTAAAGCAGCTTTGGTAATCACACCCACATTTTGAGCAAAACGTTACAAATAGTAATCCAACAAAGCCAGTTAGCTAACTAAATCAGGTGACACATGGTGACATTGTGATGTGATTAATGCCCGGTAAGTAAAATAACTGTTCAGCGAAATAAACAAAATTTCATTATGATGGGTCTCAAATCAAGAAGAGGAGAATACTGGTTTTGGCAATAAATTTGAAAGACATAGTAGTTAAGACAGAGAAGTTTGGTTGCCTGACCAGCGATACAAAATGAATTTGATACACAGGATTAACTAAGTGAGCTTAAGAAAGAGACAAAAGCTTAAGAGAGCCTCAGGAAAGCAGAGTTGACCTCACTCTCTACTGGACCTCGTGAGCTTAGCTCTTAGCTCTCAGGGTTAATGGATGTCATTTTCATCAGTCCTCAACAGGTTTGTTTGTTTTTTTTTAATTTCACGATAAATATTGAATCATGGACTTATTTTAGTCAAATAGTCCCATCATGACATATTCCTATTCAGCCTTAATTATACTTAAAGCTAAAAGAGTGATTCAACAGTTTGGAAAATATACTACCTATATGTGATATAAACCTCACTGTTTTTGATACTAAGCTTGACTTAAGCAGAGCTGAACTTACTTAAGACTGGTTTTACCAGATCATGAATGGTAACTGGTAGAGAAAGACCTATGACCTCTGCAGATGCTGCAGACTGCCTCATCAGTGTTTAATGTTTGATATCAATTCTTCTGTCATGATGTTTAGAATAGTTCAGTTTAGTATTGATTTTGATATGAATACTCTTATCATAACCAAATGCATTATTTTAACTAATGAATTAATTAAAGATCATTCAAAACATGTTACTGGCCAAGATAACTGGGTAAATTGGATTGGAATGTGAATAAAAATGACAGGTATTAATACTGTAAAAATGTACCTTAGCTGTTGAAAAATTATACCTGTCAACCATTGTACAAAAGAAATATTATATCAAAAATCTTCTCCTTTTACTTTCAGGTGTATAAAACCACTGAGCTGCAGGAAGGCTGTCATAATCCTCTCACACAAAACTCAGTGTCATCCAGCCACTCTGTCATTAAGAAGTAATCAACAGGGCGCTGTTATTTGCAGAGATGGCTCCCACAGAGCTTCTCAGCTCTCTGTCGCAGAGGTCATTAGATGCTTAGTTTGCTTCCTGAAAAATGGCTGCAGTTAACAGCTGTGTCTGAGCTGGACACCAAAATCTAAATCGAAGTTTTTACTCTGAGAAAAAACGTAGGAATCTCTTTTTCATTTAGAAGGTAAACTCCAGTTCATGGGCATGTGCACGAGTGTGAAGTTTTTGTTTTATTGCTCCAATTAATTTCTATTTTGTTCTTTCTTTTGCATTTATTCTTTTATTTGTATTTCTTTTTTCTTTATCTTTTAGGATCATACTATCCCTGCTCTACTACATGTTTGCCTCTGTTTTAAATGCGTGTCTTTTTGCTTTATGTTTGCTGTGACTTAAAAAACATCAGGCTATTTCTTCTTATTACTTGGGTATGTGATGTTATTTGCATTAAAATGAGTGTTTTGCTTTTGGTCCACATAAATCTTTCCTCAAACAGTGCTCCATAAATTATCATTATAAGTATTATAAATCGTCACAGATAAAGAATAGTGTATTTCCTACTGTAATAACCAGGCTTATAACAAAGCATGTTTTTGCTTAGCAAGGTTTCACTTTCAACCATCTCAGCTACAAATACAAAAAAAGATCTGACTTTTTCAAAAATACAAGTCAGACTTCTGAATATAATACACACAGATACAGAAAAATGTCCGTGTTATCCAGATAATAACTGACCAGCAGAAGAGGTGGCCTTTGCCACAATCTACAGCAGGAGCTCGAAGGAGGGGAAAGCAGAGAGGATCTGAGGTGGAGTTTCCAGGCCCCTGAGTGTTCAGTCTCACTGCCCTCTCACACCCTGCCTCAGGACACCAGCGAATTGCAGGATTGTTTTCAACAAAAGCCTGTCAAGAGAAAAAGCAAGGAAGATTAATATTTGTCTGTAAAACAACAATCTGTTGCCGAGCCAGGGGCACTTTGGTAAAGGCAACTGTATTAGAGATATATCCCAGGGAGAAAGCATTGACACAGTTGTTCTTATCTGTTGTAAAATTAGTCGTTTGAGTTTGCAAATGTGCCTGTCAGTTTTTTTAACATTTAGATGATTACTAATCTAATCTAAAAAGTCTCGCTGATCATTTACTCTCGTCCCCTTTAAACCTGTATTCCTATTTCTGTCAAAATCACCAAACCCTAAATCATAATCATGTCTAATTCACAGTGGACCTTTGTGCTTTTCTACAACATACCCTGGATGCAGCTTAAATTACATCATGTTTTGAATGATTGGTGTGGAGACCTGGAATAAAATCATACGAATTATGCGCTTATCTACAATGAAGTGCAGAAAGCTCATCTCCATACCTTGATGTCAAACTGGAGGTAGCGTCTGTCCATTTCTCTAGACACCACACTCTCTATGACTTCTACAGGTACCAGCTGGTAGCAGTCAAAGGCCGGGCAGAAGATGTTGTGAGCTTCACCTTCTTGGATCTTCAGGTTCAGGAACCTAAAACAAACATGCATATATTTTGAAATAACATGGTCCATACATAAAAAGACACAGACATGTTAAAAGAAAATAAAAAATAAAAAAAACATAAACTAAAATCCAAAACCCTTGAACACAACTAAAGGATGACTTACCCTTCCCAGCATGCCCTGCAGAACTCATGACCACAAGACATGTCAACGGGTTCTTCAAATACAGAGATGGAAGACATGCAGATGCCACACTGTTCAACAAAAGAAAAGTCTACAATCAGTCTCAAGGCCAAGTTGTTCAAATTGTTTTCAGTCAGTCTAGACAATTCTGGTATTTTATTAAAGATAATCCTGACAATAAACTCTCACAATTAGAAAAAGTTCTCCAGTACAAGTCATGCATTGTTCATCTTTGAATGAAAAAATATACATCCTTGAATCTTAAGAATAGGCTGAGAGAAAAGGCTCTTGAAATGGTGCTCGGATTACAACAAAGTTAACAATACAATGGGAAGACGAGACAAGCGAAACTAGGTCTTGATAGGCTCAAATAATGGAGTGCACAACAGAAAAGTGGTCATTAATTGATTAAAAAAAGCCCTCAGTCATAGGTCAACACAGGCCTAGAAGAAGATAACTTCTCATTTGCACGTGGCTCACAGTTTTAATATGTTTACTCACATTCGCACAAATTTGAGACACAATCAAACGAAAGCAGGGGCAATTACGCACTCCCACACAAACACAAGCCTTGTTACAGTGAGAGCCTGAGTCGGACAAAAGACATAGAAGAGGCAGTGTACTTCAACAATGTAAGTATTGATTTGTGAAAGAGCAGCATGTGATATAATCAACTATAACCTTTAAACAGGCCCTTGAGCAGGCCGAGTCGATTGGCGCTGTGCCGTTCAAGATACCACTACTCACATTCACGGATAAGGATATTGTGCGAGAATGACAATAATTCTTCATTAAGTAACTGATAAATCAAGTCTGCTAAACTCCACTGTCATCTAACTGTCATCTCTGAGATTTCTTTTAAACTAACAAACAGCAAGTATACATTTGAAGCTGGTCTTTTTGTGGCAGGTGTGAAACATAGATAGAAAATACAAGCATGTAATTTTGAGGGGGAGACTTGGCAGGGATTTTCAGTTATAGTCAACTCTGCATTTACATTCAAATAAAGGTGTTTTATGTTGACGGTTTGTAAGTGCAATATAACCAAATGAAACTCCTGCAGTATGAAAGGTATAATAAAAGTGATTGGACATATTTTTTCCTCACAAACATAACTCTAAATCTTAATGTGGCTAATCTTCAGGTAGCACTCAGGATGGCTGCAAAAAACAAAGTGACTGATTGTATACAGTCAGCACATATCCTTAGGCCAAGCACCAATTAGAAGGCAGTACAGTCGACTTTGCCTTTCTATGCTCCTGTCTTCCCCTGGGACTCCCTGACTGTTCTCAAACACACTTGATACCTTCATTGGCAGTCTGCGTTAGTGAGTGGCTGAGTAAGACAAATTGCCAACAGCGGAGAGGACATCTTACGTTTCCTTGCATAATTTCCATCTTAACAGCTGCTCACAAAGAGGACTGCTGAGGAAAATGTCAAGCATGTTTGATAATTATCAAGAAAATTTCAGACAAGGTCAGGCTAATGGGAGTGCAATCAAACAGGCGGTGTGCAGACCCTGGTGCAGCAGGGGGTCAATATGGCGACGTAATGACCTTCTACACATGCAGGATTTTGTTCGCACAGCTGAAAAAAGTACACCTTACGCGAGGTTTCCTCAGCACCTCACATTTTTCTGACCTCCCCTTAGTTATTGCAACAATACATTCGGTGTATCTTTGTCTTAATTACAAGGTGTTCAAATTTTCCTTGCAGAAGGCACTTGATACCTCTTTACATCAGCTGTAGAGTGAAAACAATTAGCAGAGAGGTACAGAGCAGCTGTGTATGCTTGTTTTGCATAAACCCTAACAGTTCAGTCTCTCCCTGTGCTGGATCCAGACTCCCATTAGGGGAGCAGCATGATGAGCATCCCAATGTTACAACGAACACGCAAATCTGGAGGTGTGTGTTCTTCCAAACCAAAATCCATCCTCCATCCAGGGATTAAAGCAAAGAAAAAATCTTTTGACTAACAAGGTTTTCTACTTTCTATCGTATTACCTGATCATCAAGCTGTGTGTGTATGATGACTCACTGACTTACTGACTAGCTGTTGGATCAACATTACTTCCACCTGTGATAACTTTCATTAGTAAAACTTTGGTAAGCATTCTGCGTACCTGTAACCACCATGCATGGACACAAGGCCCGCCCCTCTCTGCCTCTGATTGGCTAAAACTATGACTCTGGCTGTCTTTATTTGTTGAAAGCTGTGTTGGTTAATCCCTGTACAGGTGCTAAACTGCATGCCTTAACAGGACTCCAACGAAAAACAAGTGTAGTTGTCTTCCCCTCTCATTTTTCTAAATGACAGCAATACGTCAAAGCAACGAAGAACTTTAACACCTGCATCATGTCTGACACAGAAGCAGCAGACTGCAATGACATGCTCTATTTCTGGGATCCAAATTCTTTGCTGAAGACCAATTTCACAGTGTAAACTAATTACATATTCAAGGTATAGAAGATAGCTCTGGCAAATAACTACACAAAAGAACAGGTGCAGAAGTAGAAATGCCAAAAAATGTGCAGAATAACTCGAGGAGATCTATGGCACCATGGCAACTCAATTTAAATAAGCTTTACCCTTTGCTGCTGGAGCAGTTTCTTGGCCAGGAAAACATGCTGCTCCCTGGAGCTTCTGGTCTTGCGGTTTTAATTTTATCTGAAGGCTCTTCACTGCTAAGTACAGTTTAACAACAGACTTCATTACACTGATGTTGATCTACAATATCTTGAAGTTTCTAATGAATAAAAATGCTCTCTAAAAGGTTGGGTTTCTTCCTTTTCAGGAAAAATGTGGACGCCTAGCTATTCAATAAGAGTTTTGCTGTAAGAAAACAGTCACCCCAGATTTCTCTTCTTCCTGTTATCATATTAATTTTTTTACAAATGAATGAAACCCAAAGTCCTCTCTCACCAGAGATGACTCATCATCAGCAGGCATGAGGCTTATTTGGTCTGGGGAGGTAATGGAGGAGCGGGTAGTGCGTGGTGTACGGGGTGAGGGTAAGGTGTCCCAGGCATTGTAGCCGCTTGGAGGTGGGTTGGGCATCTGTACTCCTGAGCGCTGGCAACATTCCTCAGCATTGGACATCCAGGCCTCTAGGAGCTTCTCTCTGTCCCAATCTGACATAAAACACAGACAAAGGGAAAAAATATATATAGTACACGCTTTCTGTGGTACAACAATCTGTCGGTGAGCCTGGGGCACTTTGGTAAAGGCAGCTATATTACAGTTATGTCACAAAAGGAAACATTGAAACTTTCACCCTAATGTGTTTGTTAAATAGTGGTTTGAGTCTACAAACTTTTCCTTTAAAAGATATCTAACTGATATAAAACTCTACAGGTGGGTCTGCACAAGACAATGAGTTATGAACAAAAGAAAAGTTTGGATGGCAGTGAAAAAAAAAGATCAGAATAACACTGTCGTTTCAACTTAAAAGACTTTGTGATAAGAAAACTGACAACACATACAAGCCCAGTTACAAAGAAAATTTAGAAAATGCCCACTCTGACGTACAAGCACTGAGGCTTCAAAACAAGGACAGTGTGTCTTTTCATTTGGTGATCATATTTCATAAATCTTCATTAGTAAAGGTTTTAGTAGACTGAGATAAATCATCTGAGACAACAGCGTACGCAGTCCCTATTCAGCCTGTAAAAAACAAAAGACTTGTTGTCGACTAAATTCTCGTTTTATCCATAGAAAATGTTTTCATACAAAAACATTTGTTTCAATCCATCCTGCCTTATATTTGTAAGAAACGGTAAACACAATGCCGAATCCACCAAAGCCCACATAAATCCCTCTCCAGTGGCAACAATACCACCTAAGCCTTTCAAACAGTCAACAGCATAGACCTGCTGCCATCTGGTTTCCTGTTGTAGAATAGCTGCTTGTTCTCACATTAGCAAAAGAGCAGGTTTGAGAGCTTTTAAACATCAATATTGGATGACTTGTGAACTGTGCCTGAATCTAAATTTTCTCTGACAAAAAAGTCAGCTCCCAAAATAAAGACCATGACCCGGTCAACTACACAATTAGGCCATTATCAGCCTCCAGACACGTTTCACCACCAATCCAATGCCTCAGACTCTAAATGGCCTCGTTTAGATAATGAATATTGCAACAATTTCCCCCATCTCCATTCAATTAAAACTCATCAATGAGTATGACCCTATCTTCATGCTTTGGGCCATTAACAGGAAGCTGATATAAAAAGTCTTTGCATTTAGTCTTAAATGTCAAAAATTAGCAGGGACATCAAAATTGTGAAAAGCAGACACATTGACAGTCCAGCAAGCACCAAGAATTGTGATAAGAAAAAACTGGGAAAAGATCAATAAGGAAATAAAAAGTTCAGAAATGTGGAAATTTGAAAAAGTTTTCTCAAGAAATCCTTCTCCAGGAGATTAACAAGAAATCCTGAAATGTGCCTTCCCCTATTTAACAGACACACTGCATTCCCATGATAGAGGTGCTTATATATAGCAGGAATCTGGAGCCACTCTCTCCCCTCTAAGCTCTCAAAAGTATGTCTAATATGTGGCGCACACAGCTCAGCAGCCAGCCGCTTGGTCCTCTGAATTAGAGGAAAGGGTATAGAAAAACTGGGAATTAGACCCCCAAACTGTGACACACTTTAGTCCCACACAATCTTGGCCGAGTTTAATCAAGGTGGATGGTGGTCTTCAAAGGATTCTGTTTTCAACATTTCAGCTTTGTCACATGCAGCACCTTCACTTGGGTTATGTGAATGAGTGGCTTAAGGCTGCGAATCAAATCCAAACTGAGACACTGTTACTCAGTACTTTGCCAAGCCTAAGTTACAAGAGCATCACTGGAAAATCCAGGCCAAGTGACTGATGTCTGCAGGCATGAATAATGCGGCTCAGCCAAACCATTTCACTCTCCACAGGTTAAAAGGCTTTGACTGGTTTAGCCCATTGCTAACAAACTTCCAGACGCATTTGTCACAGGGTCAGATTGTTTTGGAGAACCTGATTGGAAATCAGGATATCTAAAGGTTCTGTGAAGAGTGGAGTTTTTTACTCATTTTAGAAGGAGTCTCTCTTGCACTAATTTGGCTGTATGACCCACATGGGGAAATGAGATTACCGGTGACAAGACTGGTTATTCTGAATTTGTGGTCCGTTAGGTCAGTTTAAGTCTGTGCAAAACTGCAGAGTTGGTATTCAGCACTCAAACTGAAGTGGTTATGTTTCAAACTCTGCTGGTAAAGTTTGGCAGTGAGAGGTAAAGTTAACCTGCAGAAGTCTTTGTTCTTTAGATCATGTTTCTTTTATAAACTGTTTGGCAGGGCTGGGCAATAAACCGAAAATTTACCGATACCGAAATTTACGACAATAACCAATGTCATTTTGCCCATGTCAATATATTTGGTGTCAAAAAAAATAAATAAAAGTTGGTTTTGGATGTGTGTAGGTAGGCTATTGTCTTATGTCCCTTTAAGGCCCTGTCCTACGTCGGAGACATGACTCCACCCCATCCAGTCTGTAATAAAGAGGGAAAGACAGGTGAGGAGATGGAGGACGGTTCAAAAGTTGGAGCAGCTGGAGCAGCGGCTGAAGTAGACAAAGTTAATGTGGGAGGGGGTGAGCAGCTTGTGGAGTAGTTATCGTCCATTTATCTTTGTTGAGGTGAGCTGCTCAATACATCGTAATATTGATTTGAGGCCAAATTGCCCAGCCCTACTGTTTGGTACCCACAAACGGCACTTGAGTATGATTAACAAAAAGAAGCAAATTTGTTTTAGCCAGAGTACCTACAACAAGGAGTTTTCTAGAAAGTGCTAGGTACAGTGTGTCCATGCTACACTGCTCTGACAAAAGAGTAAAGCTGTTTGCAGAGCTTGTATTGTATTGTATTGTGTTATGTTATTTGCACATTTATCAGGACACCGAGGATGTAAAATGTGATGTCAAACCAATAGATCCAATCCCCTTTTGTAAGCTGACAAATGCTAGTAAATCTAAGTTTACAAAGCTTTGTCTTTCTGTTAACAACTCTGATAACAACTCTACATGACGACAAATCAATGCATTACCTCATCTCTCTGCATTCTGCAGAAATCTGTCTTAAACAAAGAAAAGCTGTGCTTAAAAGAAGATCTGTGGTCCACCCATTTGCTTCCACAACAAATGCACACTTTGGCAAGAACAACATCTTTACAACAGTGGGAGATGGCACTCATGGGAAATATAGTCTTATTTGCAGAAAACACAACAGGTTTTATCTAATGGGCCCCAAGAATCAACAAAACATGAAAACTCCTCTTCTTTTAAGTGTGTGGTAGTGTAATGCGTGTTGGTTTGTGAATGCAGATGTTTCACCCCCAAACCCCTGACAGGGCTTGACCATCAGTCTCTCTCCATTGCATAATAACACACTGATGGGTTTAACATGACAATTTATGTTTAAATCCAATGACACTTAAGACTTTAATCTTGAAGTTAACACTCCAGACAATACAGCTGCAACAATTGTGGTGTGTACTAACTTACTGAGTATCTGAGTACCAACCTGATTTGTCAGCATACTTTATTTCTAGAACACAAAGTACCGAAAAAAAGAAAGTTGAAAATACAAATATCTGGTAGATGTCAATGCATGCCTCTTCTTGGTTGTAGATTGACCAGGGTTTCTGAAGATGTCATGATGGGACTAAATCTAAAGTGTGTCAATCTCCCTGCTTATGGACGTATCAGTGTATTTAGAGCATATGACAAACATAATCCTTACTGAAAGCAATATAAGTCAAGTTCTTACAATAATAAAGGTTGTTCACCTTTTGGATTTTTCGCTGTAAGAAAATCCCAGGAGCGTGGCACAGATTTGATATGAGATATGGCCTCACTGATCCCAATACAAATAAAAACCATAACCATACAACAAATAAACACCGACATGACACAAAGCCCCTTTTTATAAGGAAAAAGTAGAATATGATCTGCTTCACAAGAGTGAACTCTTAGTGGAAACTAGGGGTACAAAGTCAAACACTTCCTGAAAGCATTCCCTTTTTGAAAAGCAAAGCCATGAATTTTGATATTCAATGCCAAACTTTTCCTTTCAAAATTTCTGGTCTTAGTAAATCATACAAACATTAAGGACACACAAGCATACAGAGGAAGAGCACATCAGAGATCAAGCCTGGCAAGTCGCAGATATGTGGTATGCTTTTAAGCACATCAAGGAGACAGATAAACAGTAAGTGTTGTGTATGTGTGTATTTGTGTGTGTTTAATAGTACCATGGGCACGTAGCAGCCCTTCTGCAGTGAAGAGAGGAGCCTGCAGCATGTCGGCTGTCTCCACTATCAGCATGTCCTTCAACCTCCGAAGATCCTGTGGCCGCAAGCCCTCATACAGCTGGAGGGGGGTGGGGGGACAGAGAGAGGTGAGGAAGAAAGGTGAATAATGACAAGAAGAAAGGGTGAAGGAAGTAAGAAGTTAAAAAAGAAAAAACAATGAGAAGGACAAGTATAATAAGGGGAAGAGTAGAAGGGTGAGTAATTAGGGTGGGAAAGAAGGATTTAGAAAAAGGGAAGAAGACAAAAGAAACATAAAAAAAAAATCAAATATAGACAATTACTAAAGCATGACAGAGCCAGGCTCAGTCAGCTCTCAGTCAGGCTGATGATTATCAGAGTCACATGCTTTATGGCAGACTTCTTTGTATTTGTGTTTGTTTGTGTCTCACAGAAGAATCTGAAATGTGAAGGCTGGTCAGCTAAATTCCAGACCATGAACAAACACTTCCTGGAATCAAGACAAAATGAAGAACTATCCGAGTTTTACTTCTTACAAAATATGTCCCTCTTACTTATTGCTTAAGTTTTCTAAACAACAGTGCATATCAGAAAATACTTCTCACAGGGGAAAATATTGTAGTAGAGTTTTTGTTATATACCGTGGATCATACCAAGCACGAGTATAAGACAGCTGACAGAGAACAATAAAACACGGTAGCAGTGTGATATTCTGATGCCATTTCAAATGACACCTGTTGACTGTGACAAACTGTAGGTTGTGGACCCTCTTCATCTTGATATGTTATTCTGTACCTCTCTCCGGTCAAGGGCTGCATACTCTGCCTCTATACCCTCAGCCTCAGGGGCTTGAGAGAAGACCATCTGTGACTCCAGGCACAGGGCCAGCTCCTTGTGGTGCTGCTTCTCTGCACAGTCACATGGTGTCTCGCGGTTTTCATTCTCTGCAAACAGGTCCGCTTCTCTCTGAACTAGAAACTGAGTGGGTGAAAACAAGAGAGGATATGGGTTTAAAATAACAAATGCAACACTATATGGAGAGACATTTATCAAAGTTCTCTAATGAAATGAAACTCACATCATGAGAGATATGAGAGAAATGCTCATCCTTATTGGAAACCTGTTTATTGTAACGATAAGGCTTGATTTCCATATTTCCCATCACCCATTGATTTTCATCTTTATGTAAAATTTAACACCAAAAAGGACAAAAAATTAAGAAAAAGAAGAAAACTGAAGAAAACAAAGTGGAGAAACAGAGAAATACAACATTATTTCATGATTGTTTTACAGTAGCCAAGCTCCAGAGAACCTGTGGATCCATCCACACTTCCACTTGAAAAAGTTGATACAAATAAAATATAGCAAAATTTCACATTTTCATGATACTGTTTTGACTTTTTGAAGGGCTGTAACATTGTCGGTCTGTGTATGGACTTGATACGCACACAGTACGTACAACCCATTACGTAGGCTACTGAAACATTTCTTCTTTCTTCATAAATCACCTCAAAATGCCCTGAGTTTTGATTCTTTTTTTTCCATCTTTGACCTGTTATGTGCAGTGAACTCAAACAGTGGTTTCCTGTGATCATCATCATCATCATCAGGGCAGCAGAGACTGTTGATGTCTTTAAGAAGAGGCTCAAGACTCACCTTTTTAATCAGGCTTTTTACTGATTGTCTTTTTATATTTCTCTTATTGCAAATGTTCATTTTAACCAAAGTTCTTATTGTTTATTTTATGTCATTTTATAAATTATCTCTGTTCTTTGTCTTTTTTCTTCATTCACGTCACAGGTTTTTACTTCTTTTCCCCATCTTTTTATATGGTAAAGAGCTTTTACTTTTACTTATCTGTTCATTTAATATTATTTTCTTGTTTTAGTCCATCAGGTTTTACTCTTTCTTTTCACCATTTTTATCTCCAGTGTTTCCCAAAGGTAGCTCTTTCCTCACGTAATGCCTCGGTGTCAGGCCATGTCTCTCTAACAATATATCTTATATTCTCACACTGTGTGTGTATGTGTATGCGTGTGTGAGTGAGGGTGGGTGTGTGCCTTTGTGTGTGTGTGGGTCCATGGGTGGGTTGGGTTTTATTGTCGTTATTGTTGTTTTCAGCCTCTGTGAGGCACTTTGAATTGCATTTTTTGTATGAAAAATGCCATATCAATAAAGTTGAATTTGAATTTGAATCATAGGTGTCTGTAGTGCTGGGCGATATGGCCTCAAATCAATATCACGATATATTGAGCAGCTCACCTTGATAACGATAAATGGACAATAACTACTCCACAAGCTGCTCACCCCCTCCCACATTAACTTTGTCTACTTCAGCCACTACAACTTCTGAACCGTCCTCCATCCCCTCACTTGTCTATCCCTCTGTGTTACAGACTGGATGGGGTGGAGTCACGTCTCTGACGTAGGACGGCATCTTAAAGGGACATGAGACCATAGCCTACCTACACAAAACCGACTTTTTTTTTTTTTTTTTTTTTTTTTTACACCAAATATACTGACATGGGCAAAATGATGTTGGTTATTGTCGTAAATTTGGGTATTGATCAATTTTTGCTTTATCGCTCAGCCCTAGGTGTGCGTGTGTGTGTTTGTGTGTGTGTGTGTGTGTGTGTGTGTGGGGGGGGGGTCCATTAAAGTGAAAAGTGGAAAGGGGAGAGCAAGTAGGAAGTGTAGTCAATTACGACTCTCATCTGTCAGGATAAAAAAACATATTAAGCCTCTTGACTAGCTAGTAGTCCTATTTTAAAGTTGTGGGCCCAGAAACCCAGTTAAAGCAGGGTGGCTGAAATACAGCATAACAAACTGGCTATATTGAAACCCTTGTATCTAGACACCTATGGTGTTATATTGCATTGCCCATTTCTTATCAATACACAGCCTTGTCATATACATACATAATAAAACAATATGTCAAAATGTTGGGATGTGTTCAGTGATTTTTTTCTTTAAATGATAACAGATAACAAATCAAAGTTAAATTCAAGACTATCAGGTTTTGGGTGGGGGGGTCTGAGAGTTCGAAACAGCTGGTATCTAAGCTGCTATCTATATTGTTTGATCTAAAACTAGGAGTTACAGTAGATAAATTGTAAAAGTAGTGACAATTTATCTGTGTGACTTCTGTATGGGCTGCGTCTTCTACAAGTATAAATAAGATGATTTATAACTGCACAGAACTGTTTGATCAAACATAATGTGATAATGCTCTCCTCAGAGTGTCAAGCACATCTAAGAGTTGTCCCAGTCTGCTTTTATGACCCTAATTTCTAAAGCCGTATTTTGCTTTTGAGCATTTGCAGACACACCCGCTATCACAAGGATGGACTGATGGTAGTCATAAGTGATAACTTCAACCTTCTCTCTGACCCTTTTGGCCTTTTCACTCTCTCCAGGATATTTATCTTTCCTTTTACAGCTAATAGTTTGTTGCAGCAGCCTTTTTCCTCTGGCGATGTAGTGAACTTGTTTGTTGCACATTGAGTTTTTAGATGTATTATATTGGGGGTACTGAACACAGCTCTACTCCCACCACCTTGGGAAACAATCACATTGCTCATTTTGCCACTGGACACTGAACTGTTTTCACTACCTGGCAGAAAATATTTCCACAATCCTGACATTTCAGTCACGGGGTTGCAGATGCAAATATAACAGACCGTCCTGTATTTACACTTTCGCCATTGAACCATGTGTCCCTGGAGAGTCCCAACACACTGCCAAAAAGCAGTTGTTTATGTAATCTGGCTGGTTTTGCTGATGTGTACTCATGTAATAAAATTTCACACCATAGCTCAGATTGCCAATCACCAATCAATGAAAAATTGTCAAGAATCGCTCTGACCAGATAGTTGAGGTCAGGATCAGGACATCCCTACATCTAAAAGTAAATGACAGACCAACTGCAGTTATACCAGCATCATTTTCTGTAGACATCAGTATAGTTCAAACCCTTTTCTCTCACTCCCATTTAAATTTCTTCCCTTGCTAATGAGACTTTTCAGTTTCCATCTGCATCTTTTGCTCTGTACCTGGAAGTAACACTGTACCTGAAAATCATTTTACATAAGCCTGGACTCTCACCTCCACACAGGTCTTCATGCCTGAAGCAGCAGCATAGTGCAGGCAGGTATTTTTCTTGTTGTCAGTGGCATTCACATCAGCTCTCTCATACTCTCCATGGTCCAGCTTTGCTCCGGTCCAGGCCAGAACGATTTGGAGACATTCTGCCCGGCGCTGTTTGTCTTCATATGGCCGCGAGATCCGGGGTTGCAGTGCCCCTTCTGAGGTCAGGATCTGTGGGCCCATGCAGAGAAGGTGTAGGGATGTCTCATTGTGCACATTGCGCTTGTTTGGATTCCCATCTTTGTTGAGGAGAAAAGACCTAACGGAAAAAGTCAGAAACAAGCTGGTTTGGTTTGCTTGCTGGCACGGTGTGTGCTTTTGGTTAATAGAGCAAGTGAGCAACTCAATGCTATCAATAATAAGGGTCTACACTGTTTTGTTTTATAAACAGTCAAAGCATTCTATCTTTAAAAATATAGCCACAGTAAGACCATTTTTACCCTTCAGGTTAGCATTATCCCTAGTTTCTGTTGTAGGCGTATATGTATGTTTAGTGTAAATGTATATTTTATACATCTACAGTCATGAAATTCACAATATTTGATGCAAATTCTTGGAATAACAAGGTAAAGACATGTATGGATACAAAAAGCGTACATCTGCTAAATTATCTTTTATTTACAGTTCATGTTGAAAGTGCAATCATCTTAATCATGTCTGAAGCCCATCAGTCCATTAATCTATCTGTACATGTGTCTCATTCTGTCCTCTCCTGACTTTGACATTATTTACTGAGCCCTATTAGCTTTTTCAAAAGTCAGCCATGAATGCAAAATACTGCATACTATTAGAACAAAAAAACGACAGACCCCGAGAGGAGTAGGCCTGAACGATATATCGTTTGACTATCGTCATCGCGATGTACGTGTGTGCGATAGTCACATCGCAGAGCCTGCGATATTGGAGGTGAATGAACTCATTTAATTTCAAGGGTAACCGACTGAGATACACTCCATGTGACTCTGCATGTGCTGTGCAGCGATCCACCAATCGCCTTCGTCCTTAACTCAGTTGCCAATCAGACTCAATTCTCAGTTGCCAATCAGACTACCCTGCCAGCTGTCAATCAAAATCAGGGAGGAGAAAACCCACCCCTGCACATGTTCTGCACATGGAGGGAGACGTGTGTCCGCTGAGAATTACTTTCGGAACTTTACTCATGACTGTTAAGCTCAACAAATAAGAACTGTATGGGTTTTAAATTGTACATTTCCGTGGACCACTCTACTATAAGCGGTGCGCGTTTTGCGAGGTGCATGCAATTCTCGGAGGACATGCGTTTCTCGGCACAACACCGCTAACAACAACACCAACGATCGCAAAATGAACAACGAACAAGCGAAAACCACCGAAAATGAAGATTTGTTGCCAAAAAGAAAAGGAAAGTCAGTTATCTGGAATTATTTCGGTTAAAAGAAGGATGATGTCGACCAAAACACGTCTTCTGTGTTCATCTGTTGCCACAATAACGTCCCAGCACAATAAAAGCTGAAAATATCTCTGAGACAGACAGAAGCCGTTCTACTAACATTCACAAAAAGAGGTAAGATCAGAGCAGATTAACTGTCCTCAAGATTTCAGCAGTGCAGCATAACATTAAGTGCTATTCAGGTCATCTGGTGAAAATACTGTATTTTTAATATCGCAATATATATCGCAGGGTTGAAAAAATCGCAATATTATTTTTTTCCAATATCGTGCAGCCTTAGAGAGGAGTAACAATGAGCACATGCAAGGTTGGTAGCTGGTGGGAAGGGAAGCTCTTGGAGCCCCATCCTATTCTAACACAGCATGTTGCATTCCTAAGAGCTGCTAACAGATGGCTATGTGGAGAGACAGATGGGACAGAGACATATAGAGACAAAACATGACCATTTTTCTCTTATGATGCAGCAATACAGCACTAAATGAGACCAGTTGATCAACAGAGAGCCAACTTCAAGATGAAGAAGTGACTGAAGGATACTTCTGGGCAGGTCTGACTACGAAAAATTATAAAAACACAATACCTGCAGCATATTTAAAAGATAAATCATGACAAACTAGCCCAACATATCCAATCTGTTCAGCTCTAACTGACAGCTACTCGAACAGAAGTATTTGACTGTAATTTTTATTTCTTTTCGATTCCATTCAAGCCACGTCCTGACCTGAGTAGGCGTGTCATGCCATGCCGAGCGGCATAGTGCAGTGGAGTGTTGTGCTGGTAGGACTCTCCATATGTAGAGTTGGGATCCAGAGCCTCCTTGAACTGCGGGTTACTCTCGTACAATTGGCAGGCCAGAATCTCATCCCCATTAATGAGAGCCTTCCGAAACTTGGTCGCTGTGTTCCCCATCTCCTCTTTTCTGTAGATCAGCGCTTGGTCTGATACAGCAGCCTCTTAAGTCGTCTTCAAGCCAATCAAGTCAAAAACGCCAACATACTGGATGTCCTAGAGGGAAAATGCAGAAAGACAGAAGTCAAATTCCTTTCTGGTTGATTCCAAATCCAAGGCCTTGCTAACTAACAGTTGTGACTGAACTCATCTTCAATTAAAAAAAATAAACTCTGATTCTCCAAGTTCTTCAAACATTTTTTTCAACTCTGTTTCAAACAAAAGCAGCCTTTACTCCCTCTCAGGCACAAGAATGATACTTGCATCTCCAAGGTTGCTCAGGCTGTTCTGCTTCAAGCCCCTGTGTCAGCTTCACCACCGCTCTGTAACCCACCTCCCTGTATTCCCCTTTTTATTTTTTTTTATTTTTTTTTGCTTTGAAAACTGAAAGAGAGCGCCAACAAAGCTCAAGCAGAGAGAGGGACAAGACTTCCTCTGGCATCACCGGGAGCTTCCGCCTCTCTGTGCCAATGATGCCCATCCAACTGAGGCCGGGAGTCGTTGTGGAGCGAGATATCCTCGACTCACAAACAACATGCAGCGCGTCAGCATTTCACCTTCACCACAGCGCCATATGGCCATGACTGTTTGACGCTTTTATATATTTTTGGTGAGCCTCAACACAAGTAACAGGACACAACATCATCTCATTCAGCACCGTATACCAGGAAACTCATTCAGACATGAAAAAAATACTTCTGCACAAGTTTGCCTCAGTGTAGAATAAAAATGCCACAAGCTGCAAGAAAGAAAATGCTATTTGTTTTCTATTTATTTCATACTTAAATAAAACAAGCCAAAAAGGAGGAAATATCAACAAAGACGTGTGTCCATACAAGTTGGCTGTGAAATTATTGAAGGAACAAAGGCAAAAGATTTACAGTAGGGTCAGTTTTTGAGGCCAACCTTCATAAAAGTAAAACAAGTTGGAACAAGAGTCCAACAATAAATCTGAACCCCAAAAATCTGACTCCCCCAGACGCCTCATTACCCATAAGATTTTCTATTTCATTTTTATCCAGTTCACCTTAATAACCAGCCCAACAGTCACATCAGATTGCTGTTCAGCATCAGTTTGATTCTGCTGAAGAAGAAGTTTTAGATGGAAGTTTTTGCTAACCACTAGAACTAACTAAATGCTGAGAAGTGCTTTTGCTCATTTAGGAATTCCAGTGGGTTTTTGCAAATGAATCTGCAAAGAGTACAGATTAGAGCTGCTCTTTGTGTAAAGTGCCCCGGTATAACATGGAAAAACTGACTGTTGCCAATGTACATATGAACCAATCATTTACATCCAATGCCAATATCAAAACAAGACTGATTTCAACTCTCAATTCACACTCAACTTTATTTGTAAAGCACTTTAAAACAACCACAGCTGAACAAAGTGCTGTACATAAATAGACAAAACAACGCATAAAAATCAATCAAAAAACAATTAAAACAATGGATAAAATAAAAGTAGATAAAATATAGTTTCAATGTTTTTAAAACCTAATTTAAAAACACAGAAACAACAAATAACTAAAATAAAAAAAACATAAAACACTAAAACAGGAGCCGAGTCTCATGCAGGGTTAAAAGCCAAAGAATAAACATGGGTTTTAAGTTTTAAAAATGGACAGTGTGGGGTCTTGTCTGATTTGGAGGGGTAGCTCGTTCCATAATTTTGGGGCCGCAACAGAAAAGATCTAACCCCTCTGAGCTTCAGTTTGGACCTCCAGGAGCAGCTGATCAGCTGACCTGAGGCACCGAGCAGTTCCTGCAATTCAACACAAGAAGAGTTCACACAATAGGAACTTGTTTTAATAAAATGCACTCTAGTTCACAGCCAACACCCACTATAACTAACTAATCTCAATAACAATTAAAACTTGTATGACCATGTTAAAAAAAATAGTAAGTAGAGGCTTTGTAAAACCAGCATTTATGGCAGCGAGCTGTATTCTGTTGCATTAGATGGCTCAGGTGTACCTTACGTTCTGGCAGGTGAGTGTATGCTGTTCATTAATTGATGATGTGCTAATAATAACTGCTTGAATCAATAACCAATAAAACTGAAAACGTACCTTTTTAGTCTCGCTTTTAACTAAATTTTATATCATTAACCCTGTTTAAGTGTTTAAGCATTTATCTATTCTAGTTTAAATCACAGGATCGGCTTTTATTGAGCTATTTTGGTGCTCTTATTTTAGTATCTTTTACTGTTGTTTTTATTTCATTATTTTTATTGTATAGATTTTTACATAAACCTCCAGTGTTTCCTTATCTTGAGTTTTAAAATATGTGTCCTCAGTGCGCACATTCCTGTTTCAAAATCAAGTCTTTTTTAAATTTATGCACTTTAATACTGTTTCTGTTACAATTAGATCGTGGGGTGGGAATGAGGGGTTGGGTTGGGGTAAATTTGGGTATTCTTTGTTTCTTTTATTCCTTTTTCTGTGTGAAGCACTTCGAAGCACAAGAACAAGTGCTATATAAATAAAGACTGATTGATTGATTGATTGATTGACTGAATAATAACCTCATGATTATTTAAGCATTGATAGATGTCTATGAGTTGAACAGTTTTGCTTATCAGTATTAACGACATTTATCAGTGTTGACTGATATGATAAGTGCTGTTATGATAAAAAAACAATAATTCCTTTTTATGAGTATAATCAGATGACACAATCGTCAACTTTCCTTACATGTGTAGTTCTGTGTCAAGTTTGAGTCATGTGAAGACATACAGCTCTCATAGTCAGTGAACAAGACAAAGAAGACAATGTCCCACCTTGGGGAACACTTGTAAACACCTTATCTGGAGTTACATAACCTTGGAGGTGGTAACGTATCACTCGATGGGCTTACTTTCTACATGTATAACTACTAATTACCCTGTCTGACAATAGTTAACTATACTTCCCCCCGACAGCCCCAGAAAACAATAGTCCACGCACTTTGACAGTTAAAGGCTAATGTTGTAAACCTGTACAAGTCTGTCTGCGTAGCTTGCCACTTGTCACTGAACTCCCTCTCCTCGCAGGCCTTTCTCCACGCTGTGGAGTGTTTACCGTTCCTCGCTAGCTCCACCGACGTGTGTTGTTAATGAACAGTGAGATATAACGCTTTTGTTACGTTTCTGCTGCGTGAAACCATTCAACATCTAACTGACCGCGTACAACCTCAGCTTACAATCCCCCCCGTAGGTTAAAAGCGATAGTGTGAGACACAATAGGAGACATTGTGTGCTAGCTGTGTGGTTATGTTCAAACAGATAAAAACATCATGACGCTGCCATCTGCGTTGGCTAACGTCAGTGCACGCGCTAACGGCTCAGCTAGCAAGCTAACCGCGCTGCTAGCCAACTTAGCTAGCACTTTGATAAACTCACTGTAAACAAAGAGTAACAAGTATTCAGACTTACACTGATGGTACATCTCGCTGTTACAGAGCCGATGTCGCGGATTGGCTGTCACCCACTAGCGGAATACACCCAGTCCCTTTACATAAATGAGGCAATCCATAAGTAATGTGTGCTCAGAGCAGGGATGTTCCTGTCAACTCTACCGTTGACTCCGCTGCCTGATGGACGGGTTGCCAGGTTTCAGCAATAAACCCCCAAACCGGCGGAGAAACACGGGGCTCGTTTTCCCGAATTGGCTGATTACTTTATTTCTATTCCTCTGGATTAATTCGAAGTAAACAAAAAAACTAATGGTTAATTTAAGCAGCCCTGTGCTTTTTGTTTTAAAACAACTACTGAATCCCAATTCATGAGCAGCGTTTGCTCCTTTAAAAACTGATTGGCCACGCTAAAGTCCTAATCAATAACTAATGTGATTGGCTCGTCAGAGGTGAGACTTATGCTAAACTTAACTCTCAGGGTTGCAAACAGCCTCCTCTCTCTTCGCTGCAGGACAGAAAGATTCAGAAGATCTTTTGTACCCACAGCCATCAGAATGTTCAACTCTTCTGTAAACAGTAGATGACCTTTAGATTGACATGACAAATGAGACGACAGACAATCAATAAAGTTATTCTTATTCTTACTCTTATTTAAATTTCAGTTTGGCACATTTTATGTTGTGAGTGTGTTGCATTGCAGCAAGAAGGTTCCTGGTTTAAAACTTTTTTTTTTTTTTTTTCTGTGTTGAATCTGTTATTCCTGTGCATGTAAAGGTTCTTTCCAGGTACTCCTGCAAATGTAACTGACTTATATGACTTATTTTTTGCATAATTTGTAGTCTGTCTCTGAGTCTGGCAACATATACAGAACGTACTGCCTCTCCCTACTGACCACTGGGATAGGCTCACAAACAGCAGAAAACACATACAATAGGCATGCACCTTCTTTTACAGTCCTTAAGAAATGAAGGATTAAGCTGTAAGTCTGCTGTGTTGTTGAGATATAGAAACTTAGACATAATATCAGTTGGATGGGCTACTGTACGTTGACAAATAGGCCTATAATAGACATGATTTATGGAGCCAGGTATGTATGGGGTGAATAAATGTTCATTTATATGCGTGTGCACTGGCTGCATGTCGATCCTGCATTAGACGGTGCCCTAATTTGGCTATCCCTGTTCAAAATACTCTTGACATGCCCTTAAACCCTGGCTTCCTAAAATACTGGAATTAAAGTTTTGCACACTAATATTTAATTCAAGGAAAATTAGGGATATAATGAAGGAGAATTTGAAGGAAATCGGTGGATTTATGCTCTAATCATGGATTAAATTAACCAATGTGTTGACAGATGCACTGAAGTTTGAGTCTCAACTCAACAGGCAACTACATGGAAAATGATTTGATAATTGTAGGTACAACAATTGGCCACTAGAGTGCGACAGAGTCCATATAAAGAAACAATTCTTCAATGGACAGAGTTTGGCTTTTCTTGTGTACGTACGCTCTATTTTTAAAAGTAAGCTTTTAATATAAATGTAATACTTTTTTTGCACTTGACCCCTCCAAAATCATGCTTTTAGCATAAACATTTAGGATAAATTTATTAGAGGAAATGAAACTCCCTTTAACTGGTAGGGTTATGTGTGAAGTAAATGCTTGAATTTAGTAAACACAATTTTTTAAATATATTTGAGAAGCTGAAGACAGTGGCAAAGAACCAAACCATGCAGAAGCTTAAAGAGAACATATATGCTTTTATTATCAAATGCTTCAACATTGCCATGAAGATATGTACAGCATTAACCTTACATTCATGAGCGCACAAATTTCATATAAACAGGCTTTTAATAAATAATCTGTAAACATGTAACCTCAGTGTAAGGGCAGATACAGCAATGTGTTCACAATAAAACATACATAGAAGTGTTTTATTAACTTTGATACCCAAAACAAATGCTTTGGCACTTCCTGTTACACAATGGTGGGACTCTGTATATGATGGTAGATACACTGAATAGATGTAATAAGCCAGGATCACAGGAATTTAATGCTCATCATGCCACACACACACACACACACACACACACACACACACACACACACACACTTTGGTTTATGTGATTATTTTAATGACCCTTGAAATTGACTGAAGCATAACAAAAAAGGGAAGAAAAATCACAATGAAAATACTTGTTGTGCGCATGGCGTAAGCAACTAAATGTTCTTGTTGATGGTAGAAAACAAAGAACAACCTCATTTTCAGAAAAAAAAGAGACAAAATTTTGAGAGAATAAGCACTCAGGGGTTTGTGTAAAAGGAATAGTAAGCTGCCATGCTTTTGGATGAGGGGGCTTCTTTGCTGTAGGAGCTACTGTTTGGTGCAGCAGAGGCCAAGTCCTCACACTTGATCTCATTGGATGACTCCTCTGTGCTGGGGCCATTAAGAGACAAGCGCCTCCGTTTGCAGGTGGAAGAATAAGAATCAGTCTTGTCCAGAGACAGTGCTGATGGCTGCGCCTCTGTCCAGGAGGAGATGAGGCCCCCGCTGCCATTCACCTCCTCTTCTACTTGTGGTTTCACTTTGATTGAGTCGTCTGGGAAACCAGCAGTGGGACTAGGCCTGGGGGACCAAGGCAAGCTGGGGGGAACCTTTCTCTGGTATGCTGCTCTGGGTCCCCACCCTGCGGTCATGGTGGAGAAAGGAGAATCTTGATAGTAGCTGAGAGCATGAGATGTTTGCATGGAGAGAGATTTGATACCATAAGGCAGCAGGGAGCTTGAGTATTCTCCCTCATATGGTGTGAGATCGAGCTTGTTGCTGGTGCTCGTGCTGTTTCCTCCTTGCTGCATGGAGGTGACAAACCACCTCTGTGATGCTCCATCCTCAGGCTGAGGTGAGAGGAGGTTGTTAGTCTGCGGCACAGCTCTCTCACTGTTGTAGAAACGATGCTGAGGGAGGTTGTTGACAAACTGGTCCTGGAAGAAGGGCTGCATGGAGTAACGGGCGCTGGGGACAATCTGGTGTGCACGTGGAGAGTCGGTGGGAGAGGGGGTGAGGCGGTCGTTGTCTGGGGCTGTGTACATCCTAAAAAATATATATTCACTGGTGAATTTGAGGTCAAGGAAGAAGTAAAGAGAAAAAGAATATGGTATGAACATTTCTTTCAAAATGAGTAGTCACACAAAACATGACGCAAATAATCTTAGATGAGTTCACTTTGAAATGAAAGAGAAAGAGCGTTTGATGGAATAAGAAAACAATCTCAATGTAGTCTTAATAAAATATGATTTCCATACAATTTATAAACAATATGAGTGGAGTAAAATACTCACGAATCATAATTGTCTCTGAATCCTTTGGCAAAAGGGTTGTGATCAATCTTCAGCTGTGTAATCTGGGGCATATAGAAAATATAAAAGAGCTTCATCAATATGTGGCAATAAGCAAGAGCAGATTTTGAAAAGCACAATGCAGTTACATTTCTCTGAATCATAGAGATAAAACTATAAAAGAATAAGAAATGTTGAATATTTTAATAAAGATGTAACATGAGGTTCATAACAACAAAACATGGCTATAGGACTGATTTTATGACAATAGCAGCACATTGCTCAGAAACTTTATCATGGCAGAGAACAAAGGCAGAGAGGACATGTTCATTCTTACATCAGTGTTCTGGTAGGCAGTCACAGCTATAAACTGGGTCTCTGGAAAGGTGAAGCTCTGAGTCTTCACATCGCTGCTGATGTCATCTACCCCGTCCTCTGTCACCTCCACTATGTGCAGCCTCGGCTGGTACTTATGCAGCGATTGCAGAACAATCATCTACAGTGGAACATGGCATATTGTTGGTTAGAACAATTGAATTACAAAATAATAATAATGATACGCACAAATACTGACTTCAGAAAAGCGCTGATTCCTTCGGATGTATTTTTTTTTCTTGCCTCAAATTGTACCCGTCCTAAATAAGGTGACTGTATTTTGAAATACTGAGTTCAAATTGCTCCCACAGACAGAAAAAGCATCACTAAATTGCTGAAATCGTCGTTTCTTCTGACCACAAATTAGCTATAGGATTTGAAATCAAACAATATCCAAAATGTCAGTGCGCCTGTTACGCACGATTTATCCGTGTATCCATGAATATTATCTGCATATCAAAAATACAAAGTAACTCTGAATTTAGCTAAGATCATTGGCCAATTGTACATAAGATTGTGCCGCCTTTAAATAATTTGTTCCACCGTTACGTCTTTTAATAAAGGCCTCAGTGTGTTCAGTTTGTCATACCTGTGAGGTGCTGTGAGTGTTTCCTTTGTTGTTGGTAAGTTTCAGTTTGCTGAAGGAGATTTCTTGTCTCATCCAGTGCGCCCCTGTGTTCGGGGACTCAGGGTGGATGTACACTTTATTCCCTGTAACAAAGACATATATTTATATCTTTAGACTCGATCTCACATCTACACCTTCGTGGGCAGTGCATTAAAAAATGTACGCCTGGCTTTAAAAGTGTTCATACAAAAAAAAGTTCTTATTAAAGACAAATTAATTGTCTTTGCGCATAAAAAAATTTCAATCAATGTGTCCTATAATCTATTTCCATTTTTCGATTGGAAAAAATGTTTTCATTGTAAAAAAAATATCATTTGTAACCGTGAGATCCACTTTTGTACCTTGGCTGCTGTTGTCCGCCTTTCCACATGTCACCCACTTGCCACCTTGAAACCTCCAGTGGTTCGGATCCGCCAACACCACCTCCACAAACACGTTATAGTGTGATGTCAGGTTCAGACCTGTGATGTTAAAACTCAGAAACGGGAACATCCGTCTGCAAAGGCATAAACATATTAGAGCATTAAGTCCTAGTAAACAACACTTTTATTTTCTCTCTGTGTGTCTCTGTCTATCTTTCTCTCTCTCACCTGCCCTGTTTGGTGATGATCATCTCGGTCTGGTGCCTGTGGAACTTGAGCCACAGCGGTCGGTTGCATAGGTAAACCTGGGCCCTCATTCCGGGCCCGGCTGTGGGTAAAGTGATGTTACTGAGAGCGGACCCTGAGCCGGTGTAAGATGGGTAGATGCAGCCGGGACCCTGCCCGAGCTGGTACGCCGAGCTGAAGTGACTGCGCCCGGCTGTGGAGGGGGAAAATCCTGCAGGAGGTAATACGGAGCCCAGGTGGAGAGATGAGGGGTATCTGCCTGCGCTGGATGGGCTGTAAACTGTCCCACTAGGAGTGTAGGGGATGAAGGAGCAGGGGTTTGGTGGTTCTGGACTTTGTTTGGAGACAGCCGAGGGGATGTAGTAGCGGTCAGCACCTACCCCGTGCTCTGCGTACCTGCTGCCTGCAGCTGAGTTGTCTCCATCCACAGCCGGGGACTTACACCTCTCATCCGCTGCTTCCTTGGTGGATGCAAATGTGCTGCTCTCTCCTTCATTTCCCAGCATCTCTACTTCACCAGTCCTCACTCAGACTTAGTATAAAAGGGTGATTACTTTCTGATCCAAGTTGGGACGGGTTTTCCAGTGTCCTCTCTCCTCTCAGTGATCCCCTCTCTCAATTTTGTGCCAAATATTGTCGGATAAAACCTTGTTTTGTCAGCATCTGTCGGAATCTGAAATCTGAGACAGTTATAGATGACAGTTAAGATAGTAGTAAAACCTACGCTAGCTATCAGCTGTATGAGTCACAAGGACTTAAAAGGCCTCATTCAAATGCCAAAGCTGTCAAACTGCGCGTAAACAAAAATAAAGTGAGGTGATGCCCGAGTAAAGTGACTTTCAAACCAAAGTTGAAACCTTCTGTGGGCGTTTCAGTTTGTGCTTGGCCACTTTTTGATACTTATAGGTTTGGAATGAAATGTCGAATTTGAATTGAAGATGTCTGCGAAAAATGTGACAATGATAAAACCAAACGAGAGCATTTTGGCACAGCTTTGGAGTGATAATATTAGGGTGATGAAAAGTGCTGAATCCTTTTTTTTAGTAACACCGAAAATGATTTGGAGACCCTACAAACGTGATGTGATTTAGTGAAATGGTTAAAATACAACGAAATTTAAACTAATTCAACTATTCTCTGACTAAACCAAACTAGAAAAAAATGAATGTAAGATGAGATGATTTAAAGTTTTGACAGTTAAATCTTTATCTTGTTGGGTGAAAAAAGAAAAACTTCTGGATGCTGTTTCTTGTAAATCAGATGACAAACTTGAAGTACAGCTTTGATTTTTTTGAGGGCGTAAAACTAAAGTGAAAGCTCACCCACGGTGCTTGAAATTCATCTCCAATTTCAAGAGAATGAGATATACACCACAACATTTTCGGTGACAACAAAGAGTGCAATTTTTGTTGTGTCATCTATTTTATAATTAAATGAACCCCCTAAAAGACAATTCAGTTTTCCTAAATTTATTTCTATGGTAAAAGGACTAACAGATGTGGTGATTTCAAAGTAAGAGACGCCTTGTAGTTAATCCTATAATGTTATTCAGAGTTAATGAATTTGCATTTATTCCGTTCTGACTCGGCTCTGTCCCAACGGGATACCCGACGTGACAAAAAGGAAATAGTCAATTATTTTTCCGTGTGAAGAAATCTGTGATGTTTCATGGATCAGACAGGTCAATATGAGAAACGACAACAAACGTGTAAATGTACATAGGGATGGGGAAAAAAGAAATGGGAGATCAAAAATAATGTACACGTGCATAAATAGGCAAGACTGAATTTTTAAAATGTTAAACCATGTTAGGCTGAAGGCCTATTTAGGGTCTGTTTTTCTTTTTAATTTTTAACTTCAATAGGCATTAAAAATCGGTCTCAGGAGAGTGTTCCTTATTGTAGTCAAAGGTAGGCCATAGACCCCCCAAATTATAATAATATGAAAAACAAAAACTTACCAAGCGATCCCTCTTGTTTCCTTTTGCAAATCAAAAAATATTGTAAAGAAAACTAAAAGCTCTCTTAGGCAAAATAAACGCGCGTAATAACCTGTGAGTCTGAGTCCATACCGGCACATGGCATCATGTTGTGATTGTGGCTGAGGAGGGAGTTTGAAATAAAGCCTGAGCCATGTGGAGGCGGACTGATCACAGAGCAGAGGCGCACTGCTCTCTCCTTGTGGCCATGACGCACAGATAGCAGCCTATTATCAGATCCTCCTCTGATCTCCAGGGGAGGGGCAGGGGATCCTCGGTATCATAACCCTCAGCGTGTCAGAGCCAGGCTACATCCCAGTCCACCGGTGTGTCCAGCTCATTGTCCTTACAGAAAAACATCCCAACTCACAGAGTGACCATTAAATCAGGGCTTATGGAGTCAGTATTTTATGGGACACTAAGATACAGAGAGATTTATACACCTAGAACCTGGTTCATGATGGATTCAGACTCTGATGCTTACACACTGAGGCGGCCTTGTATGCCTACAGAAGATCTTTGACACTGGTAGGGAGATGAACATACAGGAGGTTGACTCTGCTGTGGAGTACTTTAGAGCACATTAGCAAAATTTGTCTCCAAAATGAACCCGAGCAACTACAATGGTTTTACCAATTTCACTTTCATATGAAATTCTCATAGTGACAGAAAAACAAGAACATTGTCACACTTAATCATAAAGTTGAGACATAATGAAAAATTGGAGGAGGTATGAAACAGAAAGACTAGAAAACAAACATACCTCTTCAAAAGAAGGTAGAAAGGAAAAAGAAAGTAACTTTTTAGTTTTTTTGGTTTTGCTGAAAAAAACAAAAAGATACATAAATATATTAAGAAATTGCCCAGATTGAACCTGCCATGATTCAAATTCAGTAACACAGATGCTTTTGTAAAAGTGACTTTAGACAGAGTACGTTTATTTGTTTGATCTCACTGAATCTGTGCTTTAGGGATTAAAACAAGGAGCTCCAACGAAGAGGTAACCCAATCATAAAAAGGAACAGAGTGAACAGCAGATCTTTGTTATGTGCAAAATCTTTATGAGAAGAGCAACAAGTTCATGCTGAACACAAACAAGTATACTTTTTTGACTGTCAGTGACATGCACTAAAATGACAGTGCTAATGATGAATTTTGACCACTTATTTTCCCCAATACACATCTTAGTTTGCAACAAAGGCAAGACAAGAACTCACAGATAATCTCAGCCCTTTAACGGCACTCACATCGGACTGTTTCCTCCTCTATTCCTCCCCAGTCTACAAATTCAGTTTAAAGGAAACCACAGTCAGTCTTTGAATTGAGCTGTAACACTGTGCTAATGGGGCTCCTTTCAACTTGCTCGCCTATCTGGACAAGACGATGCTCAGCTGCTGCTGCTGCTGCTTAGGGGCACTTTTGCATGACAATGACAGTGAGAGGATTAATGAAGCAGGTTACCACCTCTGAAATAAACACAGCACACATCAAACAAGACAAATCAACTATTTGGGTAAAGTGTTTAAACAGCAAACAGTCTGAAGCTGAACCACATGTGCTGATTGTCCTGGTAAACTGATTTAGTTGTTTGATTGTTTCAGGAAGTCATGAATGTAAAGTGGGAGAAGACAGTTTCAGTGGTACTGAATACACCCCCTTGACCTTCTTGCCATATGCTAACCACATAGTGGACTTTTTTGTGCTGTTATTCCTTAGCAGCATGTGTAAATGTAAAATGTATAGGCAGAAGTAATGAAACACTCATTGTCATAATGAATATCAAGTACATCTGAGTATGCTTTCCACTGAAGCTTTCTGTTTCTTTATTTGACAACATAACCATCAGACTACAAATGCATCTGGTCACATGCTTTAACACTTAAACCAATGTGAGTCAGAAGTGAGAAAATGTTGAGTTGCAAAAAGTTTCCACATGTCCCAGCAGTGCAAAGGCCCCCACTTACCTCTCACACCACAGAGACCTGCTGTAATGCTGCGTTCGAGTTACCTCGGAAGTTATTAGTCCGAACTGAAAATGACGTCACACCCGAGTTACCTGCGTTCCAGTTACCAAGTCGGACAAAAAGCAAAATCAGAGGTGGAAACAAGATGGCTACATCTACGAAAGTTATGCCTTGTCCAACAATAAGGCAACCGCTAAAATCACTTTTGTTATGAACACCGCTGTAGTCCGTAATGGACTAGCCCAAAGTCTTGCTACAAACAAGTAGCTGCTGGAAGAGAGTAGGTGAGATGTGTTTAGTCTCTTTGCTAAAGAAATTAGGCAAAGGTAAAAAGGTGGCTCCTCAGACTGCTGTGCATTGCTATTGTTCTGTCGTTACTAAAGTCAGTATAACTAGAGAATTAAGCGTTCGGCAAAATTCATCTCTGGAGGGGGTTTCAAACTCAGTGTTAAGGTGTGTTTGACCCTAAATTAATTTTACGCCAGAATACCCCTTTAACGCGGTGACTAACTATTGAGATCTTTTTATATCAATTTGTAGAGATGGCAGTTCTAGTATGTTTTCACATTTTAAATGTAATGTTAATATAATATGAACTCAACACCAGATTTCATAAGTATCATTTTGACATGAGTTTTTTGGAGCTCATTGTGGTCCTGTGTGAAACTTTACACCAGTGTCATGAAAGAACTTAAATGCTGTGGTGTGCACACACACTGGAAACTGATTTATCTTTTGCTAGTAAAAAAGGTAGATATTCAAATCAGCTTGTTTATCTATTTATCTTTATTTTTTTAAGTATTTTGGGGGCCATTTTTGCCTTTATTGATGGGATAGTGTGGAAATGTGGGGGAGGAGGACATGCAGCAAATGGTCGGGGCCAGACTTGAACCTGCAAGCATAACAGGGACCAAGGTCCCCAGACGTGGGGCACGCTAACCCGCCCCGGCTTGTTTATTTTTTAGGACATGCATTTGCATTTTTACATTTTATTGAAAATACACACACAAAGTGGGTTTAAGTTTATATTTCTAAACAATATAAAGACAGTCATGCAAACTGGATCTTTTTTTTTTTTTGCCATACACTAAATCTAAACTTTAGGTATGTGTTGAATCTGCTGGCCTTTGTAGACCAGCAGAGAACCAGTGTGTTAGCATGATGTTGAAAAAAAAAAAAAGTATTTGTCTGGTTAAAACTGAACTTCTGTAAAGTTGTTTGCATTCTCAACATTGGGCAAAAAACTGTTAACCATTCTCAAACCTGTTTGACGATTTTTTTGGTGTGTGAAACAATACCTCATCTAAAAGACAGCTCAACTGGAACAAGCTGAAAGGGGGCGTGTCACTACCTTGTGTATCAATAAATCAGTTCTCTCCTTGTGCTTTTACACTGGGAAGTTGTCCAGTTATAACGCCTGGTTAAGCTGTAACTCAACAGTATGTCAACATACTGACAAATAATCTTGTTCTAGTTTTCTATAGCCAGTTTTTACAGTGAGTGAAACCCCTCACTGTAATTTTCGCTGTAATTTTTGCTGTAATTTTCCTTCCACTATGCTGTGAAAAATTAAAGAAAAGGCTGTTTCTGCCCACACACACTGGCAGCAGTAAAAAACATTAAGAATGACTGGAAATGACTGATCTGTTTTGTCGATTATGGTGTCAGTTGCTTTTGCTGCATGTGAAAAGACAGATCATTTAGTTTGAGTCTATTTTACAACCTGTAAAAAAAAAAAACCTTCACTTAGGACCTCAGATTACAACTCTGAGCCAAAATTTTTATCCATTTAGTGTTTGGGTTGTTAGAAATGTGGGAAACACTCTTTGAAATGAAGAAAATAAACAGTTAAACACAGTTTTCATGTAAAGATTTTAGCCTACTCTTCACTTTAACTATTTTTTATAAATGTCTGTGATAAAGGGGATATTTGGTTTAAATCCCTTTATGTTGTTATTATTTTACACTTCATATTGTTTTCTAACACCCTCCTCTATCCATCACGCAGTACTGTTTGATTACGTGTTTATTGGGCAGCCTGTCTGCATAAGGGCTTCTCTCCTCTCTGTGTTACGCTCGATGAGCAGCTTCCCCTAGCTGTGCCTGCTTTTTGACACGTCTAAAGGGCTGTTTCTGACATGTTGCCATCCTGCCGGCCACCCCCTCCCGCAGAGCTCATGCCAGGCAGGAGGAAAAAGCTGGTGACCTGGCCACTGCCGCCTTGCCCTAGGCCACTGCCACCCCGCTGCCAGCAGAAGGTCTGTTGGTCCAGAGCCATGGCAGGAACTCTGCCCGCCGCAGCTTGTGATGTCACGACAGACATGCACTAAGACAAGAATTCTGATTGGCTCTGAGGGTTTGTCATTCTCACTTCCTGGGAAATACCCCCCAACAAGGTACAGACATACAGACCTAATTAATTAGCAATTAATAACCGTTAATCAGCTTTCTGACTTCCTCATTGAGCTGCTGCCTCCCCTGACCTCAGAGGAAAAACGAATAAAAGCTCTCTTTCCCTCTGAGGTCATCTGAACATTTGGAACTTTTACATTTCAACAACTCATATTTTAGTTCCTTTTGTGAATTAGTTGTCAGTGCATGAAAAACAGACTTCATTAGGGGCATTTTTTTCCCTGCATAGTAAAAACTGAACTTTTATAAGATGTGAAACTTGAGGATCTTGGTCTGTAAAAATCTGTTTCCTTTTTTAAGGACAGAAGATTGAACATTTGAACAATTGTAATGCAGAGATGTCTCGGGAGTGTAATATCTTACCATGTAACAGTAATTTCTGTATTTAACTTCTGAAGAATAGATGTATGTACTGTGAGAAAATATTTAAAAATAGGAAACTGCATATGTCATCGGTTTCCCCATTTCATTTATTAAGAGTTTCTGCTCCAGGGATTGAAATGGCAGAAGGTTAGGGCCTCTAGTGACCCACTTCTTTGTCTCTCCCCCCCCACTCATACATTTATGGTTTGGTCCTACATCCTGTTAAGAGTAGCAGCAGGAGCGGACCATCACATTTGGTGCTCAGCGTGGGGGCGGTTGGTGAGCTGTCATGTTCCAGCTATCCCACGGAGATACACTTCTGCCTCTCCGTGAAGATTTGGTGTTTTCTCATTTGCATTTGCTAATGAGATCCTGTTTGCATGACTTTATGTTGGATGGCTATCTCTTTGAATATCTCTTCTCAAATACAGGAGGAGGGGTTCAATGAATCCTGTTTATTTAACC